CAGTACAGTGAACATTCCATTCACGGCTCTAGCTGCAAAGCCCTATTTCAGGATCACAAACTGGTGTTTACAGGACCAGGTAGCAGTGGGGAAGGTGGGCAAGGTGGGGATTAGGGCCAACCAGAAAGCCTAGACCCCATCTGAAGGGGCAGCCACACACACAGCCAGCTGGTAACCACAGGGGGACTTGGGTCCAGGATGGCCCCAGCTTCCAGCTTGTCACAAGAACTGTAAATCTGATTGTTATGGTAAATACTCTATCTTCAGGTGTTGGCAACCAGTTTTTAAATATTTTAATCTTTGGGAGATCAAGCAAACGTTATCCATGGCTGGTTTTTGCCCTAAAGGCTGCCCCGCTTGCAGGTTTTTCTTTACAACATAAATCATGAGCCCACCTTGGCTGGAACAGAGAGTGAGTAACATGGGAGAGAATGGCAGTAAGTCAGGTCACATTGAGGTCCTTTTAGGGTAGAACTATAGAGGGCCTTGGGCCGGTAGAGTATGTAGTTCACTCTGCTATAATGTGATGTATGCATTCCTAAAAATTCCCACACTGCCATATTTTGCAATAGAAACCATGGGGCTTATGGGGAGAAATGGGATTAGTGACATAACATTTAAAAACTGTTGGTGACACACTAAAAAAAAAGGAATAAATTTGATTTAAACTGCAGTTATACACACACACACACACACACACACACACACACACACACACACACATAAATAATAGCTAAGAAATACGTGATGACTACACTACAATATGGCACTTTACCTTGAAAGATACTTGAAGCTTCCTTCTGGAGGGGGTCTGAGAGGATTGTAGCTCCTGAATGATTGTGAGTGGGATGATCTGAAACCAGGGAAAGCTGCGATACCACATGCACAGAGCTGGCTATTTCCACTCCGCTCAATTCACCTGGGTGTCATTTTCTGTGTGTACAGTTTCTTAGAGAAATCATGCATAAACAGACACAAGATTTACATTGTGCTCAGATTATTTGCTCGTATATCTGTCACACTGAAACAAATGCAGCTTTTCAAGACCAGCATTGTAGCAGTACTCCGTAACCAGGCTGTGGAGGGCGTGAAGAGTCACACAGGAAACAAGACTTCCCTGCTTACGTTCCTCCCCACCCTCCATTTGTTACGTTTACAAGCAGAGAGTACAAACATTTGTTCCAAGCGAAGATATTAAATAAGGTTTGCTTCTCATATTCATTTCCTAGGGCTGCCATAACAAATAACAGAAATTCATTTTCTCATGGTTCTGAAGCACAGAAGCCTAAAATCAAGGTGCTTGCCAGGGCCATGCTCTCTTTAAGATTCTAGAGGAGCATCTGTCCATGCCTTCCTAGCTTCTGATCATTCCCAGCAGTCCTTGGAGTTCCTTGCTTTGAAGCTGCACCACTCCAATCTCTGCCTCCATTTGTCACATGGCCTTGTAGTAAGGGCACCAGTCATTGGATTTGGAGCCCACCCTAATCCAGTATGGACTTATCTTCACTTGATCACACTTGCCAAGGTCCTATTTCTAAATAAGGTCACATTTATAAGTCCTGGGGGTTAGGACATAACCATCTCTTTTGAGGATGTTGATTCTACCAACAACACTTCTTCACCCCTCCACAGAAGATTTAATAAGTCTGTATACATCCTCTCAATTTTTTTTATGTTTATTTATTTATTTTGAGAGAGAGAATGAAAGCGGGGAAGGGGCAGAGAGAAGGAGAGACAGAATCCCAAACAGGCTCTGCACTGTGAGCCTAATGCAGGGCTTGAACTCATGAAACAGGAGATCATGACCTGAGCCAAGATCAAGAGTCAGATGCTTAACCAACTGAGCCACCTAGGTGCCCCTACATCCTCCCAATTTGATGTTTCCTCAGTTTCATTAAACAGGAGTCTGCCTGCTTGTGTTTGTCAGCAAAGCCTTTGTTTGTATAAGGGTCATCCTGGGGTTCTTCTGTAACCCTGAACCTTTGGGAGAAAACAGCAAAGAATAATTTGAGCTTTAGGATATGTTACATACAGCCACCAAGAACAATCGTCCCTGTCTAGACCCAGTCACTCTTACCTCCCACTCCTAGCCTAGCCCCATACCTGCCATGCCTCAACCAGGAAGCCTGTGGAATGGCAGCAAAGGTAGTGTACATGCCCAATACTGTGTATGCTCAGATGTAGAGTGCTCCACCTCTGAACATGTGAAGGACTTCTAGCCATGCCTTTGTTATAGCTGGTGATTGAAGATCCTCTCAATCATATGACTCATTTCTTTTTATTTTTTATTTTTTAAATGTTTTTATTTTTTTATTTTTTTTTAAAATATTTTTATTTATTTCTAGGAGAGAGAGAGAGAGAGAGACAGCGTGAGCAGGGGAGGGTCAGAGAGAGAGAGAGACACAGACTCTGAAGTAGGCTCCAGGCTCTGAGCTGGCAGTCAGCACAGAGCCCGACGCGGGGCTCAAACCCATGAACCGCGAGATCATGACCTAAGTGAAAGTCGGACGCTTAACCGACTAAGCCACCCAGGTGCTCCTAAATGTTTTTATTTTTGAGAGACAGAACATGAGTGGGGGAGGAGCAGAGAGGGAGGAAGACAGAATCTGAAGCAGGCTCCAGGCTCTGAGCTGTCAGCACAGAGCCCAACGCTCGAACCCACAAACCTTGAGATCATGACCTGAGCCAAAGTCAGACACTTAACCAACAGCCACCCAGGCACCCCTGTGACCATCTCATTTCTTAATAGGGAAAGTAGTTTAGGAAGGAGGTAAATTCTGATAGGCACGCAAAGGAAGTCAAACAGTTGACTCCTAGATCTCAAAGTTATAAGGGCCTTCCAAAGGCCAGCTTGTTACCTTTGTTACCTTCTGTGGCAGCTGAGAGAAATGTGTGTCAGCCAGTCTGTCCTCAGTCTTTCAGTTCATCATTGGATAGGAAAGTTTTTGTTTTGTGTTGTTTTGTTTTTTAAGAGAATTCTTCTTACAAAGTTTTCTGTCTCATGTTTTACTTTTTCAGGGAAGTCTAGGTATATATGCCCCAGGAATCTGCCTGTGTATCAATGAAAGAAACTTCCTTTCATTCTTTTAAATCTTCTTTATCCTTAAAAATCTTTTGACACTTTAGTTGCAGCTGATGATATGCTAGGATTCATGCCCAGCCCTCAGCTAAGGATTTGTTTTTGTATCTTCTGTTCCCAGTCTGCTCTTCTTTCTGGTCTAGAACTTGCTGTGCCCTTAGTCTGTAACATACTTTGCCACATATTTGTATGGCTTCTTCTCTTGCTTCATTCAGGTGTTTGCTCAACACCACTCCATCAGAAAGATCTTTCCTTCTAATGTGGCTCCCCTGCCTCCTGTCCCTTGACATGATTTGTCCATTTACTCTGCTTTTTAGTTTTCTTCAAGGCACCTACCGAGACTGATACTCTACAATATCAGTGTTCATGGTGTGTTTCCCCCTCAAGAAGGTTAACCCCGCGAGATAGGAGCTCTGCCGTATTCATGTCCCTATCCATAATACCAAGAGCAGTGCTTGACACATAGTGGACACTCAGTAAACGTATATTAAGTAACTGGATCTTTGATTACCCATGTCATTTTCCTTTGAACCAACCAACATTGTCTGATTTTTCATATTGGATAGTTGGCAAAAGTGTTGCGCTAGATTCTATGTAAGTTTGCTGTCTGAACCTTGGAATGCTGTGTCACAAGGCAACATCTATCAAGATGTGGATACCAGACCTGGCAATAAATACCGTATAGGGAACTGAGTTCTAGCCAGAGATGTAGTACATCTCCCTTTGTCCAAGGCCCAGCCACAACAGCCCCAAGAATCCTCTTTGCTGTGAAGCCCTCTTGCTGTCCCCAAGGAGAAGGTGGGCTGTGTTCCAAGCTGGGCACTCGGCCTAGAAGAAGGCAGGACAGAGAGTAGAACAGCTTCAGAAAATTTCATGAGCAGGAATGAGAAGTCACTCTTGCTGTAGCAACTATTTTTATCATAACTGATGCAGTTAAGGCAGGGACTCTGGGAAGAGGCAGGCTTTGACAGCTGGCCCCCTGACTGGTAATCACCTCTGGAGGAATCAGGGTCAGGACTTCTCTGGAGTTTATTATGCCCAAGACGAGGATTATTATTTAATGTTTATTTTTGAGAGAGCAAGAGAGAGAGCGCAAGCAGGAAAGGGGCAGAGAGAGAGGGAGACACAGAATCCAAAGCAGTCTCCAAGCTCTGAGCTGTCAGCATAGAACCGGACGCGGGACTCAAACTCATGAACTGAGATCGTGACCTGAGCTGAAGTCGGACACTTAACCAACGGAGCCACCCAGTCTCCCCAGGGATTTTATTTTTAGTTAAAAACCTATCATCTACTATCGATATCTCCATATCACACAAGAAAGGGCTTTTCTGTTTCCAGTTTTATTCAGATTATAACTGACAGCACTTTGTAAGTTTAAGGTATACAGCATTGTGCTTTGCCTTACATGTATTATGAACTGATGACCACTATAAGCTTAGTTAGCATCCATCATCTCATACAGATACAGAAAAAGAAAGAAAAAATGGTTTATTCCTTGTAATGGGAACTCATAGGATCTACCTTCTTAACAACTTCCAAATATATCACATGGCGGAGTTAGCTACAGTCACCATGTACATTACATCCCCAGTACTTATTTATCTTAGAACTGGAAGTTTGTGTCTTTTGATGACCTTCATCAGTGCTCCCCTTCCCCCCCCTACACACACACACTAAAGGGCATTTTAATTAAAAACGGGAAGGATATCATCCCAAAATAAAATTAGCTCATGGTAATTGGTTGCTGAAAAGCTCACAGTTGTGTTTTATTTTTCTCATTTCACCATGCACTGGTGAAACTGCATCTTGGACCAGCATTGACCCCAGGACAGCATTGGGCAGTCACCGCTTTGAGCATCACCTGCAAGTACACAAGTCGCATGATGCTCCGTGAGAGCAGCCTCCATGTTGTGTCTTGTAGATTGTGACAGACCAGCAGACAGGACAGAAGATCCAGATAGTCACCGCAGTGGACGCCTCCGGGTCCCCCAAGCAGCAGTTCATCCTGACCAGCCCAGATGGAGCTGGAACTGGGAAGGTGATCCTGGCTTCCCCGGAGACATCCAGTGCGAAGCAGCTCATTTTCACCACCTCGGACAACCTCGTCCCTGGCAGGATCCAGGTGAGGCCTGTTGACAGACACTTGTTTCTGCACTTGCTTCTGACCTTTCCTCAGTCTTGGAGGCCAAATCCATCTCTAGAAGTTCCTTTGAGAACCTGCAGGCCATGGCGGATTGCTGCTTTGGCTAAAGTCAAAAGCCAGCAAGTGAGGGGCAAGGCCCAGAAGGGCAGCCAGCTGCAGTGCTCAGATGGAATGAAGCAGAGCCAAAAAAATCAGTGGCCCACAGAAGAGTGGCATGAGCAAGCTGACACTGAGGCCACTAAAGAATCGTTCTAACTAAAGTAAGGTTGCACTGTGGTGGTTCTTGGCCCCTGACATTTTAGGGGAACCATCTCGGGCTGACCACAGTCAGGAGAGGATTCACTGGTTCCTAATTCTCACTTCAGCGTCATCCAGGTCGTCAGGACTCGTTCCAGCTCTTCATTCTGTCCTTACTTGCTCTTGTGAACTGCTGCCTCTGGGTCCCTCAGTCACCATCTCCATCCCTGCCATGGTTCTCCCTGCGCTGACAGGGTGAGATGGAGGGGAGGGGTGGCAGTGCCGGTACAGGAACTAAAAGAGCAAGAGCTTGAGGGAAAGCAGGGTTATTGAGAAGCGCTGAATGTCTAAGCAGACTCAAGGCCACTGTCCCATGGTGGCCAACCATGGAACAGATTTAGTGAAAGTCAAGGGGGGATCCATGTTTTTGTTTCTAATTTTTTTTTTTATTATGGTAAAATATAACCTTAATTTTACCATCTTAATGGCTTTTAAGTGTCCAGTTCAGTGGCATTAAGTATACTCACATTGTTGTCTGTCCTTCCTCACCACCTATCTCCAGAACTCTTTTTATCTTCCCTAGCAGAAACTCTGTCCCCATTAAACACTAACTGCCCATTCCTCCTCCCCCAGCCCTGACAACCACTATCCTACTTTCTGTCTTTATGAGGGACCCCACCCACGTAAGTGGAATCCTGCAGTATTTTTTCTTTTGCAGTTGGCTTATTTCACTGAGCATAATGTCTTCAAGGTTCATCCATGTGGTAGCCTGTGTCAGAATTACCTTCCTTTTTAAGGCTAAATAATATTCCACTGTACGTACAGACCACTCTTTATATAGTTATCTGTTGTTGGATGTTTGGGGAGCTTTTACCTTTTGGCTCTTGTGAATCATGCTGCTAAGAATCCATGTGTTTTTAGTGGGGAGGGACTTTCTCCTGTGAAAAAAAATAAGGAAAGGAAATGATTTTTTTTTCTTGTGATAGAGCTGGGTTCAGAACACAAATTATGTTCAGCTTTCAGAACTGAATTTTTGAGACACTTCATAGTGCAGTTTATAAATACTGCCTCTTCCTTTCCCAGAGTACGTGCTGATCATCTAAAATCAGAATTCTTCCTTGCTTATTTAGACTACTCCTTGTTCATGAGAAGGTAGCTGTTGATTTTGTGGCGTGTTTTTTAAGAAGCATTCTACATGATATATTCCTACTATATAGAAATCATTTTAAGGGTTATTGGTACATTATTTAATAACAGGTATTTTTCACTTTATCATATTGGTATCAGTTACAGTATTCTTCCAGATAAATAACACTGTCACCTAAAAAGTCACGTACAAGTGAAGAAGAAATAACAGGTTTCAGAGGTCCCCAGCTGCCTCAGGAAGAGACCTACTTATTTAATTACTAAAGCTTAATTATTTCACTGTCAAGTACACTTCTCTGCATGCTTCTAAGCTGTTTCATGGGAATAGGGAAGCAGCCAGAAAGACCTGCAGTATCTTCATGTTGAGGCAACTGCGTGTGATTTCCCACATGGCCCCCTATCCTGGGTGGTTGTGCTAGCCGGATAGGAGAGTAGACCAGTGAAAATCAATGCCTGACCTTGGACAAACCACCTCCCACCACCACCACAGCTGAAGGGGCATAGTCTAGGTGAACAGCAGAGCCATTCTGGATATCCAGCTAAGTTGTCAGGTGGGATTTTCCCAGTTCTGCCCAGCTTAGAAACCCAAGGTTAGGAATTTATAGTTAAACATTACTTTGTTTTAATGATCTGATTTTTAATCAGCACTTTGCTTGTTTCCCAATTCTTCATAGATCGTCACGGACTCTGCTTGTGTGGAACGTTTGCTGGGGAAGGCTGATGTCCAGCGGCCCCAGGTGGTAGAATATTGTGTAGTCTGTGGCGACAAAGCCTCTGGTACGTAACCCTACATTATTAGGTATGCATCATGGTCCAGAGTCATGAATCAAATTGGGGGAGGGGGGGAATTCTGGGAGAGAGAACATTTTCTGTAGGTTTGTAGGTTTCAAAACATGAACTCTACTTTTCTTAGTGGGGTAGTAATGTAAATAAGCAAACCGTTTGTCAGATTATTGGATCAGAAGGAAAAGTCAAGATACCGTTTCTGTGACTTTTAAATTGTAGTTATAGATTTACATACTACTAAGAAAGCAATCATTTCTTTAATCTAGGTAATATCAGCACAGTGCTTTGATATTTCACAAGATGTGTTACCTGTCTATCTCTTCATCATCATCATCATCATCATCTGTCACCCCCTCACTATAACCCAGTGTGGTAACTGCTGTAATGGAGGAGGGAGCATGCAATTCTGGCTGGAGCCCCAGGGTCAGGCAAGGTCCCCCAGCCACAGTCACATTCTGTGAGACTTGGAGATTGAGTGTGTGCATCTTGGGTAAAAGAGAAGGGCATCCCAGCTGGTAGAGTCAGAGCCCAGCGAGTTTACTCTCCATACCCATGGTGTCTTTGGGAAAGAACTCAGGCTTCTGTAGTTAGGATGTGAGTGCAAGGAGGCTAGAGAAGATGTCTGGCCCCAGAGTTCAGAATTCAGCCTGCTAATGCCAGGAAGCTGTAGAAGGTGAGGTGGGCAGGAAGGATGGAGAAGTATTTAGTATATGTGCTGACAAAGAGATATAGGATAGACAAGTATTTAGTAAGATACTCTTTCAGCTGTGCTAGGGGCATAGGCCTGAGTTTTGTGATTGGTTCCACTTTATTCTGTGGTAACGGAATTCCTAGGAACTTTGGGCACTTTGTGATCCTATTTAGAACTAAAAAAGGCTGGACCAAACATTTTGGGAAGACAGCCCAGGCAACAATCAACAGAGGTGGGAAACCTGCAGTCCCCTCCTAGCTGGTGGCATCGTTTGCTCTGCCAGGTTGCCCTTCCTCTGTTTCCACCCCTTGTCTTGAACAGGGCGAAACCGAGCCCATCGCGCCCTTTTTCTGAAGCCAGTGCTGCCTATGTCCTCTTCACCCTTTTGTATAGATCACTATATCCTGTCTTCGTTGTTTAGCAGGGAGAGGCATTCCACAAACTTTTGAACAAATGAATGAAGCATGAACATAACGAAGAGGCCACAGAATCTGCTTGGCTTCCCTATTTGTCAGTCTCTTTCTGGGCTTAAAGGAACAGCCTAGTCACAGGCTTCCAGTGCCACAGCCTCCAGGTACTAGAGGTCACTCTAAAGTCTAGAGAGGCTTATAAGCAAATATACTGCAAAGAAGGAAGAGTGATATCTACACAAGAATCTTAGCACTATTCTTTTTTTGTTACTGTTTATTAGAGAGAGAGAGTGTGTGTAAGTAGGGGAGGGGCAGAGAGAGAGAGGGAAAGAGAGAATCCCAAGTAGGCTGTGCTCTGCCAGCACAGAGCCCAGTGCAGGGCTTGAACCCACAAAATTGTGAGATCATGACCTAAGCCAAAACCAAGAGTCAGGTGCTTAACCAACTGAGCCACCCAGGCGCCCCTAGAACTATTCTCAAAGCCACAGAATTGAGACCCTCCAAGTACACACTTGGAATGGTTCTGCACACGAGAGGTTAGGACAGTGAAACGCTCAGTAGCCGCCATCAGTGATGATCCTATGAAGCGTTTCTTTCCAGCAGTGTAGCTATGATATTGGGTTACAGAAGACCAGCCAGGAGAATTTCATGGTCAGTCCCAGCTAAAAGCAAATGAGGTGTGACGTGTGTGGAAGCACGTGGTGAATTTGGAAGGGTAAACTGAGTGAGCTGGGGGGCTCTTTTTAATGTCATTAAAAGATTAGTCCTTAGAAGTTAGAAAAGCTAAACAAGATTAGAAAAAAAGAACCATGTGTAATAAATGTATTTCTAGAATTGTGTTTCCAGGAGGGTCTGAATACTTAACCCAAGCGAGCCATATGGCATGTACCCTTTTGTCACCTTGAGCCTACACAGTCACAGCCCCTGTGCTTCCCCAGGGTAGCTTAGGGCCCAGGACAAGACTCACACAGAGGGAGTAAATGGAAGAACATTGGGCCCTATGTGCTAGAAAAGCCACACGTGTGTTTGCTTCATGCCACCGACAGCAGGACAGGAGCGCTGGATAGCGTCACAAGCCCAGGTCTGCAGAGCCAGGACCAGGTGCGCAAGAGTGGACAGTGTGATTCAGCTGTTAGCCATGAGCTCCTGCTGCATGTTAGGTCCCCTGTGCACTAAAAGCATTAAGGTTGTGCTGTTTACCAGCTTTCATGTAACCTGTCTGAGCTCCTATTTTTCCATCATGACAGCACAGGGCTACTTTAAAGAGTATAGGAAAATTATGGGAAGAACCTGACTGCCATGCTTAATGTTCGGGCCTGTGGCTGCTGGTGTCTGGCACTGCGCCAGTCACCTTGATAGACTTACCTTAGAAACGGGGTCTGTGGTGGATCACCTCTTCTCTTGGTGAACTGCTTCACACACTGTTCTTCCTTTCAGGCCGCCACTATGGGGCCGTCAGTTGTGAAGGTTGCAAAGGTTTCTTCAAAAGGAGTGTAAGGAAAAATCTGACCTACAGCTGCCGGAGCAACCAAGACTGCATCATCAATAAGCATCACCGGAACCGCTGTCAGTTTTGCCGGCTGAAAAAATGCTTAGAGATGGGCATGAAAATGGAATGTGAGTAACAATATTAAGAAGCCACCCGAGTTAGCAAGTTGAGAGAAAGTGAGGTTTCTGAACCTGGCTTTAAAATACTCTAAGAGAAAAATACCCACTTTTTTCCCTTCTGGGTCAGCCAGGTGATCCAGCACCTCCAGATAAATCGGGATGCAGCACCGTGCAGTGGGGTAAACACAGGCTGTGGAGTATCAACTCCCAGCTCTGCCACTTAGAAGCTGTGGGGCCTGGGGAAGACATGTCACTGCTCTCAGCCAGAGTCCTCTCTGTGAAATAGGACCTTCTTACCTTACTTACATATTGGATCTGGTCTTCAGCTTTTCTTCCTTTTAAAAAGATTTTATTTTCTTCATTTCTTTCTAGCCTGTATACCTCTTTTAGACCAGATTGCTGAAGGGAGAGACTGCTAGTGTCTAGAAAACTGACACCCCATTGAACACTTTGCAGAAGCCATGTAGGCTTAAGTTGGACATTGGAATGCTTCCTCTGACACATGCGTTGGACAAGCTTTATGTTAAGGGCCGACTTGAAGATGGGTGTTTTTCTTCCAGAGAATGCTTTTTGTTAGCAGCAGGAAGTGAAAAGCCAGAGTCCTCAGGATGGGCCCTCCACAAGGCCATGCAGATGCCATGCTTCAGTGTGTTAGCAGGGAGTGCTGACCCTCTTTAGCTCTTTAGATTTCACATGGCATCATTTGGCTGTGAGTTTTCCTCTCCTTTGGCTGAAAAGTCCACTGTGAAAATGGAGTTAGATGTGTCTAGCACCAGAGCCTATCATCCTTGTAGTAAGGAACTTACTAAAGAAAACCCCTAACTTTGAATGATGTAGTTCAAAGCAGGGAAGGGGCAGAGACAGGGAGACACAGAATCTGAAGCAGGCTCTAAGCTCTGAGCTGTCAGCACAGAGCCGACACAGGGCTTGAACCCCAAAACCATGAGATCATGATGTGAGCCAAAGTCAGATGTTCAAGTGACTGAGGCACCCAGGTGCCTGGAAAGATGTAGTTTTTGTGTTGTTGTTTTTAAATTTTTTTAACATTTACTTATTTTTGAGGGACAGAGAGCGACAGAGAATAATCAGGGGAGGGGCAGAGAGAGAGGCAGACACAGAATCCACAGCGGGCTCCAGGCTCTGAGCTGTCCGCACAGAGCCCGATGCGGGGCTCAAACGCACAAACCATGAGATCATGACCTGAGCAGAAGTCAGATGCTTAACCAACTGAGCCACCCAGGTACCCCTGGAAAGATGTAGTTTTTAATAACTTGGCTCTTTCCTCTAAATGTGAATATTTATATTTTGATTTAAGCCGTACAGAGTGAACGGAAGCCCTTTGATGTACAACGGGAGAAACCAAGCAATTGTGCTGCTTCAACCGAGAAAATCTATATCCGGAAGGACCTGAGAAGTCCTCTGATAGCCACTCCCACGTTTGTGGCAGATAAAGATGGAGCAAGGTCAGTCCCTGTTTTGATAAAGGATCACACTGCTATCGGCCTTTGAGCTGTTCCTTCGAGGGGGTTTACTTGGCTCCCTGTGTGCTGCCACAGCCTTCAGCCTTGTCTTGCCTCCTGCCCCCCAACCCTTTTTGGAGCTGTTCCAGTCATACCTGTGGATAGGCCTGAGGATGGCTAATTTCAGATGGGGGTCAGAATTTCTCTTGTATCAGGCTCAGATTATGCCCTGTAGTTACTCATACAGGAAAACAGTTGCTCTTCAATTTAAGATGGAATTTTTCTGCAGTGTAGACAAAAGGCCTAAGTCCCCAGGTAGTCTTAAATAAGTGCACAAGTTCTATGTCTTTTTGCTTTCCTGTAATCTGTTGAACTTAATTTAAGAGGAACAGAGAGGAAAAACAAGAAATCCAAACTCTATCCTAGAAAGACCTAGAGTTGAGAAATTCTTGGTGATATTCTGAAGATCAAGTTGACTTTATTTAACAGAGCAGTCACCATCTGTGGTCAGCACGAATGCTCGCAGGGCAGGGGTGGAGAGAAATGTGTCTGTGTTTCATCCTGTCCCAAGCTGTAGGCCCAGCTCTGTGTGCATCTCATTGCAGAGACAAGGGGTATTGTCAGTCACTCAGTGGCTGAGTCCACTTAGAGCTTGTCTGCTACTTCGACAGCTTTGCAGTTGGAGAAGGGACAGGGCAGGGTAGCATGATCATACTGTGCATTAAATGTTGGAAGCTACTCTGGGTTTCTTTATGTCTTAAATAGACAAACAGGTCTTCTTGATCCAGGGATGCTTGTGAACATCCAACAGCCTTTGATACGTGAGGATGGCACGGTTCTCCTGGCCACGGATTCCAAGGTGATGCCCCCTACTTACACCTTACCCTCCATCTTTCTGTTGCAGTGCAGACTGCCTCCCTGAGTTGTGCGCACTCACCCTCTTGGCCTCCCGACACTACCTTGAAAGCACGCCTTCTGCATCTCAATTCACTTCTTATGCAACCATCCCGTGATTTATTTTAGGGATGTTGATGGCTTTTCAGAAACTCAGGACTGGCTGGTTATAGTCATTGTAACATGTCAGGATTTAGAGTTCAGTTTGGTGAACATTCAGTGGCTCTCAAATCAATTGACCACTCCCCCATCCCCCTACCTCAGTACGCATATTGGCAAACTACTGGTATCCTAGGAAAATAACTGCTTACTCTAAGATGGCCTTTGGCAGAAGCTGCTAGTTCCTTTTTTTAATTTTAATTGAAGTATGGTTGACACACTGTTTAATTATCCACAGCCACCTGTTCCTTTTTATTAGATGACCAGGCAGGATTCTTACAGTTGTAAAACTTAAGAGCAAATCAGCTATATAGAACTAAACTTGTTGTGAGCAGAGGTGTTCATCATTCCAGGGGAGAGAGAGCAGGCTAACCCCTGTGAAGATAACTTAGGAGGAGGGTTTTATCCAGGCAAGGAATCTGCTTGTATTTCTCGTCTCGTTGTTCCCAGTATAACCAGTAATGATGAAGTGGCAGCAAGCCATGGCTGAAGTCGGTTTTCCTTCTCTAAAAGGAATGACTAGTACAGTGCTGGCATGGCTGCCACCCTGAGAGCCAGAGCTACACTACCTGCAAGCCTTCCTTCTCATCTGCTCATGTGCACGTCGCTGTGCCCACTCAGCACATTAGGAACATCCTTTTTGGGGAAAGAAAAGGCAATAGTGAGAACTGCTGGCTGGCACCAACAGCAGCTCTGCATCCTCTGGTCCTTATGCCAGGCTTTGAGCTTCCTGTCTTTGGGCTCTGGTGATCTATGTGACATGGGAACCACACCTGGCTTGCTGTTGTTGCCCAGTAGCCATTCAGGACAGTGCTTGATGCATAGCGGGATGGAGAGAAACCCAAAGCCTGAAAGTAAGGCCTGAATAATCTTAAAACATGATTACCACGGGATTCCACAGCTGCCGTCCCGTGGTGCCATCCACGCAGAGACTGAGACTGAGACGGAGAACCAGGAGACTCCAGAGTCAGCCGCCTTGGGAGCCCAGCACCACTCTTGGGAGCCATGTGCCCTCTCTCCTACATCTCTGCTTCTTTCAGTACCCCCACACAGGTGCTGGGGAACTTGAATGAGTTAGTTTTATAAAGCACACAGCATGCAGTGACACTCAGTAAATGAGGTAGTCATGGTCACTGGATGGAAGAGAAAAGACAAAAACTGTGTGGTATTTAAGTAGCAGTTAAGAGAAAGAGCCGCAGAGTCAGCCATGTGCTCCTACCTATTCCTTCCTCTGGGGTGTGGAAGTGACCATACCCACCAACTACCCCTCGGGAAGTTTGTCATGAATATATACAAAGCACCTAAAAGGAGCTATTTTCAGAATCTGTTTTTTAAACCTACTTTGACAGATTAAAACTGAAAATACTGTAGTTGGAGTAAATACAGGTATTACAGAGTCCCCGTCCCTGTATCCAGTTGCTCCCAGCAGTCTATCTGGCAGGGCTGCAGGATGCTATCACATCGAGGACATAGCACCCATACCGCGTGTGAGGAGTGAGCTTTTCCTTTTTTCACTTAAGCTTCCTTTCCCTTCAGCATGTCTTTCTCTCAGGACAGCCTACATCGTTTAGCAGCCGCACAGTACTGTTATATGCTTGTTTGCTGATTTATTAGTCACTTCTCTGCTTAGCATCTTTTCTACAGTTCTAGTTTTTTACTTTTGTAATCCAGACACAACAGACATTTGTTTATACATATCTTGATTTATTTGAATATGTCTGGCTTGCTTCTTTTTTTTTAATTTGAGATACAATTCACATGCCCGAAAATTCACCCTTTTAGTATACAGTGCAGTGGTTTTGGTACTTTCAGAAGGTTGTACAAACACTACCTGATTCCAGAATATTTTCATCACCCCAAAAAGAAAGCCTGCACCTGTTAAGCAGTCACTTCCCCCTCCGCCTACCAACTGCCACTCTGCTTTCTGACTGTGGTTTTGTCCATTCTGGACATTTCATATAAATGGAAACATACAGTATTTTGCCTTCAGAGACTGGCTTCTTTCCCTTGGCATAATGTTTTCAAGGTTCATCCATGTTGTGGTGTGTGTCAGCACTTCATTCCTTTTAATTGCCAATTAATAAGTCATTGAAGGGCTGTGCCACGTTTTATGTATGCATCCATCAGCTGACAAACATTTGTGTTGTTTTTACTTTCTGTCTATTATGAGTAGACAATATGCTACGAACAGTTGGGTGCAAGTTTTTTTTGTACACGTTGTTTTTCAGTTTTCTTACGCATATACCTAAAGAGTGGAATTGCTGGTCATATGGTAACTCTGTGTTTAAGCTTTTTGAGGAAGTGCCAGACTTTTCCACAGTGGCCGCAGCATTTTACATTCCCAGCAGCAACGTATGAGGGTCCAGTTTCTCCACATCTCCCCAGCACCTGTTATTATCTGTCTTTTTGATTATAATCATCTTGTTGGGTGTGAGGTGGTATCTCCTTGTGGTTTTGATTTCGCATTTCCAGTGATGTTGAACATTTTTTCATGTGCTTATTGGCCACATGTATATCCTTTTTGAAGAAATGTCTAAATCCTTGGCCCATTTTTTTTAACTGACTCATTTATCTTTTTATTATTGACTTGAAAGAGTTCTTTAAATATTCTGGCTACTAAACCGTTAACAAGATGTATGATTTACAGATATTTCCTCACATTCTGTGGGTTGTCTTTTATGTGTGGAAGGGGCAGGGTTTTTTTAAAGATTTTATTTTTAAGTAATCTCTACACCCACCGTTGGGCTCGAACTCACAACTCCAAGGAGAGGAGTCACATACTCCACCAACTGAGCCACTAGGCACCCCGTTTACTCTCTTAATATCTTTTGAAGCACAAACATTTAAATTCTGGTGGTGTTCAAATTTTCCGTTTTCTGTTACAAATACACAAATATGTGTATTTGTGTAACCACCATCACAGTCAAAGCACAGAACTCTTCCATCACCAGAAAGACCTCCCTCCTGCTGCCATGTTGAGCTCACACCCCATAAATGCTGTTTTTAAATTAACATTATGCCTTCATTGGCCTGAGAGTCTTTTCTGTCTGTTTGGGTTCATCTTTAATGTTCTTTTTTGTTTAACAGGCAGAAACAAGCCAGGGAGCTCTGGGCACACTGGCAAATGTCGTAACCTCCCTTGCCAACTTGAGTGAATCCCTTAACAATGGTGACGCTTCGGAAATGCAGCCGGAGGACCAGTCCGCTAGTGAGATTACTCGGTAAGATCCCCTGAGGGTGGAGGCTCAGCCCCCCAGTGTGTGACGAGAGCTGTTGTGAGGGCTGCTGCAGCAGCATTTTGACACCTTTTGACACCCACCCTGTATTTAATCAAGGATTGTAAAGTCACAGTGTCCCTGCACATCTGTCTTCCTTCACATTTAACTTTGGGAACTGGGACTCATTTATATTACATGATATAAAACAATCAAAATTCCTTTTCATTCCAAACAATGAGAAAGGAAATGGAGTGGCTCAATTGAAGCAGGGAAAACCCTTCAGTAGACAGGTGTTACTTGCATTAGTTACTGGTTCTTTTGACTAAACATTAATAGTTCATCCCCTTCCCACTTCTGTTTTAGCCTATTTTTCTCATATATATTTTTTTTTCCCCAAGTAGTCTAGAGCTTAAGTCAATCAGGGTGTTAGCTAATAGATAGCATTAGCTGGCCCTGGACATCCATACCCGGCTGCAGAGGGTGCTTCTTCTTTATAGGCTCTGGCGTTTGCTCCTTTCCTGTGGGACAGGCCACTCCTGCCTGTCTTGCTAGGCCAGCAGCTGCACAGCTGTAGGCCACATAAGCACCGCAGTCCTCATGATCTCTTGCAGTCTGATAGCAAAGAGGATGGGATTCGAGTTGGATAGAATTCTGTTTCCACCATTTACTGAGTGGTTGGTTGGTCTTAGAAGAGTTATTTAATTAACATCTCCAGGCCTCAGCTTTCACATCTATAAAACGGGAAGGGTTCTACCTTAGAGAGTAGTTGTGAAAAATAGAAATTATGTGTGAAAATAAATAATATATAGCTTAGTGCCCATACTGTAGATGTACAGACTGTACACAGAACCCTTTGTGGCCATCCCTTCCCCCAGCAGGTAGAATTTAATGATCTTTTTCCCCATTGCATTGTTTTTCTCGATTATATCTCAGCTAGAGTTCCGTTCCTCCTAAAAGCTGTGGATTCACAGCACTGACCACTTCATTTTTGCTCACAGGGCGTTTGATACCTTAGCTAAAGCACTTAATACCACAGACAGCTCCTCACCTCCGAGCCTAGCAGACGGAATAGATGCCAGTGGAGGCGGCGGCATCCATGTCATCAGTAGAGACCAGTCCACACCCATCATCGAGGTCGAAGGGCCCCTCCTTTCAGATACTCATGTCACATTTAAGGTGAGTGCCTTCAGCCTAACCACATGCCCCAGCCTCCCCAGCCTGCAGTGTAAAACTAAAATCTTGTGGCGAGCTCTTTTTCATATTGTGGCTTTTGATCCAGATCTGGTGTTCCAGAACAGCATTCTCATTGAAAAGCATTTTCACTCACATTTTACTAATTTGGCTCTCAAGGTAACTTGCGCTGAAGCAGGTATGGCCCGTCTTTGCCAAGAAGGGCTGACAACGTGCTGACCAGCGAGGGCTTTTAATGGACTGTTCTGCCTTTCCTAGGGTGGCCTGGCTCTGGCATTGGCTCAGGCAGGCACCTCTGTCTGCTTCAGCCTGTGCGTGGTCGGCCCTCATTCCTAACCACTGGTCCTGGCCGCGTGCCCTCTCCGACTAAGGATAATATACTTCCTGTCTCCTTGAAGAGAGTTGTTAGTCTTGCCCTCCACAGTGTGCTCCTCCACTGGCCTCACTTCCCAAGGACACTCCTCAGTGTCTAGGGCTACAGACTGTGTCTTCCTACTCCCCCAGTGTTCTTGAATAGAGAGGCCTGACCAGTCGTTTAGGAAGACTGGGTCCCCACTCCTAGTTGCCCACCAGTGCCAAGAATATGTCACTTGTGGGATTCCAGCATCAAAGGCATTAATGCCCCTTCTGGACAGTGGAGCTCTGGAGCCCAGGCCAGAACATTCTGATGGTGGGATCTCATCCTCCCACCTTATGGGTTTCTGCTCACTTCTCACTCGCTCTTACCGTGAGGCCACCTACCAAATGCTCGTTGCTATGAAGTTGAGCCCTATTCCCGGATTCAATTTATATTTTAACCTCTAGTTCAGAATGGAGCTGCCTTAGAACAAATAGCAATTTAGTTGAGGCAAGAGTTGAAAAGTATGTCTTTGTATGAGCAAGCTGGGAGGTCATCATCATTGACCACATTCTGAGGGCCATCAGGCCCTAGTTCACTGGGCAAGAGACCACGCAGTGTTGGTGCCAGCCCCCCACTGCAGAGGATACAGGCTCCGTAAGGACGGGTCTGCACAGGAGCCTCAGCATTAGACATTATCACAACTCAAGTGTCACAGTTGTTGAAACATGACATTTCATGTTGACAAAGCCATGCCCTGTCTCCCCGTCACCTCTTGTGCCATGTGCCTCCTCTTCTCCAGCTCACGATGCCCAGCCCAATGCCAGAGTACCTCAACGTGCACTACATCTGCGAGTCAGCCTCCCGCCTGCTTTTCCTCTCCATGCACTGGGCCAGGTCAATCCCGGCTTTTCAGGCACTTGGGTAAGTGGCCTTTTTCTCTGTGCATCTCCTTCGGCAAGAGCCCTCCCCTTATTAGGAGTGGCCCAGAAGATAGCTGAGGGCCATTCTAGTTTGTTCCTGTGATCTCATTCAGGTGACCCTGATTTTCTGATTAAATACACCCAGTGCACTGGTAGCAGAGGACCATGGTTGCCACTATTTCAGTGTTCCTCAGACTTTTATCAGCCTTCTCCATATGCCAAGGACTTGGTGCTGGGAGCCAGGGATAGGGATAGAGTGGAGCAGAAGGCAGGATTCATCCTGACAACTTGAGACAAGTAGCAGGGGCTTCTCAGATAGGGTCATACTGTTTGCAGTGTGCCAGCTGTGCTGTCCTGAGTATAAATCATCCGAGGCAGGGCTGAAAGCTGGCCTGGTTCGCCTCTTCCTCTGTCTCCAGTGCCAGCTCCTCCCCTACAGGATTCGCAGGCCCTCTGTTCTGTCTGCAGGCTTATCTCCCACTCCCTTAGCTCTTAGCCCTTGGGTCACTGCAGCTTCTTTTGACAGCAGTGTCAGGGCTACTGAGAGTTTAGAAGGCTGTAGGAGGGGCACCTGGGTGGCTCAGTAAGTTAAGCGTCCAACTTCGGCTCAGGTCATGATCTCGTGGTTTGTGGGTTTGAGCCCCACGTCAGGCTCTGTGCTGACAGCTAGATCAGAACCTGCAGCCTGTTTCAGATTCTGTATCTCCCCCTCTTTGACTCTCCCCTGCTCACGCTGTCTCTCTCTCTCAGAAATAAATAAAATATTTTTTTTAATTTTTAAAAAAATTTTTTGTTAAAAAATAGAAGCCTGTAGGAGATGCCAGTTTAGTCTTACCCATTCAGATTTCTCATTACTGAGGTCTAAAGAGTCTTTGTTAAGAAAATAGTTTTTTTCTCAGAGGAACTTTATTTTTTATTTATTTATTTATTTTTTAATATTCACTTTTGAGAGACAGAGGACAGAGTGAGAGCAGGGGAGGGGCAGAGAAAAGGAGACACAGAATCTGAAGCAGGCTCCAGGGTCTGTTAGCACAGAGCCCGACGTGGGGCTCAAACTCATGAACCATGAGATCATGACCTGAGCTGAAGTTGGATGCTCAGCCAACTGAGACACCCAGGTACCCCAGAAGAACTTTAGTTAAGAGATTCATACAGACAGTGGTGTTTTCAGAGAATGGTCCTGGACATACCGCAGACCTTCAAGAAACACTTGCTGAATCAACTTGTTTGGGTCAAACTGGGCCCTGGATAATGCCAGCACGTACCCACACGCACTTTAACCTCTGTGTCCCCAGGCAGGACTGCAACACCAGCCTGGTGCGGGCCTGTTGGAATGAGCTCTTCACCCTTGGCCTCGCCCAGTGTGCTCAGGTCATGAGTCTCTCCACTATCCTGGCGGCCATTGTCAACCACCTGCAGAACAGCATCCAGGAAGGTAGGGTTGGGCTGTGGGGGAGTGCACCCCCAGTCAAGCCAGCTCTTTGCAGACTGGCCCCAATGCCCCACAGCATCCCCTGGCTGAGGGTAGTTTAACATTTAAGTCCTAGGACCTTTAACAGTGAGAACATCTACATTTCCACCCGTCTGTCGGCTTTTCTTACAGGGAATATGAAAGTCAAAAAAAAAAAAAATTGAAAAAATTGCCAACTTCCTGATAACAGGCAGTTGGTGATATTGCCAGCATAATCACCGCCTTCCTTACATTTTCATCTTGATTGGCAGGTATACATGGATAAAACTAGTTTTTCACCTGTGTGGGTGAAAGAAAAACCCAGTTCTTCCCTACTATGCTTCTCTTCCCTGCGTGTCTCCTTTACTACTCACACAGAACACCTTTTTTTTTTTTTTGAGAGAGAAAGAGCATGAGAACACAAGGGAGAGGGGCAGAAGGGAAAAGAGCGAGAGACCCTCAAACATGCTCCATGCTTAGTGAGGAGCCCGATGCAGGACTCAGTCTCACCACCATGAAATCATGACCTGAGCCAAAATTAGAAGTTGGACACTTAACTGACTGATCCACCCAGGCACCCTGAACACTTCAGTTGTGAAACTTGTAGTCTTTCCCCACTTTGTGGGAAACTTTGTGTGGGGGTCTTTCCCCGCAACAGGCAATTCTCTGTGACACCAGGTGTCCTACCATTTAATTCAATTCTGACACTGTCTACCCAAAGATAGTGTCAGATCCCATGGTGTTTAGGGCTCAGTCCCATAAGACCCTATCCCCAATACACACACACAGGTCCAGGCTATCACCTGTGCTCCTAGCCAGCCTGCTATAGACCAGAGGTTGCAACAACCCTCAGGTTGGATTCGTTCACTAGCGTGACTCACAGAACTCAAGGAAACACTTAAGTTTACCACTTTGTAAAAGCGTATGCTAAAGGATACAGATGAACAGCCAGATGAAGATACATAGGGTGAGGTCTGAGAGATTCTCAAGTGCAGGAGCTTCTTTTCCGTGGACTTCGGGTGCTTTACCCTTCTGCTGTGCATGTGTTCACCAACTTGGAAGCTCTCTGAACCCCGTACTATTGGGATTTTACAGAGAGAGACTTCTTCCTCACGTGGGCATGATCAATTATTAACTCCATCTCGAGCCCCTCTCCCCTCTCTGGAGGATGAGGAATGGGTATGGAAATTCCAAGCTTCTGAGCATGCCTTAGTCTTTCCAGGGGCCAGCCCCCATCCAGATTCCCCTCAACAGAACAAAAGATGCTACTAGTGCTCTTAACACATAGAAGTTTACAAGGGTTTTAGGAGCTCTTTGTCAGGGACAGGGTCAAAGAGAAATATTAGAACAAGAGATCCTGGTAGTGCTCTTATCACTTAGAAATTAACAAGGGTTGGGGTGCCTGGGTGGCTCAGTCGGTTAAGCGTCCAACTTCGGCTCAGGTCATAATCTCACGGTTCGTGGGTTCGAGCCCCGCATTGGGCTCTGTGCTGACAGCTAGCTCAGAGCCTGGAGCCTGTTTCAGATTCTGAATCTCTCTTTCTCTCTGACCCTCCCCTGCTCACACTGTCTCTCTCTCTCAGAAATAAATAAAACATTAAAAAAAATTTTTTTTAAAGAAATTAACAAGGGTTTCAGGAGCTCTGTGCCAGAAACTTGGGGGAGAGACCAACATAGATATTTTCTGTTGCCTCATAACAGGTTATCCTTCCCCACGTAACAAATTCCCACAACCCTAGAGAGACTGTTACTGCAGTAAGGTCCCTGGATTGCCCCAAGCGAAACCAGGTAGAAGAGCGAGGCACAAAGGAGGGTCATGCAGACCCCCTAGTCCAGGATACAGTTGCCTACCCAGCTGCCGCTCACGAATGAACAGGTGACTCTTCTAGAAAGATTTGTGGCAACCATCTAACGTTTGGTGGTCCATTCCCAACCATGTCAGGACCAGGAGATAGCCAGTGCAATTCTCGGCATGCTGGAAGTCCATAGCACACCACAGACACGGTCTCTCAAGGGCTCATGCCTAGGTTTCAACACTGCCACTCACCATCTACACTTGACACTGATTGCAGTTGAGCTGCACTTTTTATTAGGCATTCCAGATGTTTGATTATCTAGGAGTGAGTTACCTACTCACACCTTTGTTTTTCTAGTTACTCCTTTGGAATAGTAATGTAAAGGGGATTTTCTTTTTAAACCCTGTAATATTTTGTTGAATTTAAGTTAGGTTTGTTCACAAATGAGGATTGGTTTCCTTTATTTTTATCTGAGTGTAATAAGACTAATACCTTCGGCAAATAATACCATGAAGATTAAATCAGAAAACAACAAAATTGTATCACACCTAAAAAATGTCAACATTTAATGGTCAGATCCGTAAACATTAAATGCTTGCAGAGACTTAGAAAATCTGACCACTGATAAGAATTGACTTATGCGTCTTAAGTACAGAATAAAAGGAATTACCAGTTTACACCTATAAGCCAGAGTTGCTGCCCAAGGTGGGGCCAGGGAGCATCGCTGGTGTGGAGGATTATTACTGAGACACCATACATAGCAGAGTGGAATTTGGGTACCTTTTGTTACTTCTCCTTCACCTGGAAAATGAGGCCCTCAACCATCTTAAGGTAACTGGTTTTCCATTAAGAAGTAAAATTATTTTCTCTTCTCTTTGAATCTGTGGCTCCTCAAAGAAGCTTGTATTCTTATTTTTACCAACCTTTCTCAGAGATTCTGTGATGTTGATTTCTAGATAAACTTTCTGGAGACCGGATAAAGCAAGTCATGGAGCACATCTGGAAGCTTCAGGAGTTCTGTAACAGTATGGCGAAGCTGGATATAGACGGCTATGAGTATGCATACCTTAAAGCTATAGTTCTCTTTAGCCCCGGTAAGATATGTGGTGGTAACTCACAACAGTTTTGCGCCTGTGTCTCCTGATATTTATGAACATGAACGTGTTGTCAAGTCGTCAGCCATGTAGAGAGCCCTGCCAGATTGTATGTGACAGAATGTTCTCCTAGCAGGTGTGCTTTGCTGGCTAACATAAACACATTCTTTTAAATTACTGCCTTTAAAGTCCCAAACACCAGTGCCGTCGTGCCTGGTGACTTCGTATGTTCAATAGATCTATTCTGTATCCTAATTTAAACCATTGGCCAAACAAGACGTGGGCATACAAAACAGAGTAGTATACTACTGTCCAATGACCTTTTTTGTTCATTGTCATTTGTTTTGCTTTCCTTTTTGCCAATTTTTAGGTTGTATTAACAATATGTCGTCCAGTACAGACTGTAACTGCACAGGTTTACCTGTCCCTGGAGGGCAGTAGCAGCAGCTGAAGAAGAGGCAGCAGCACTGTCCGGCTGGCCTCACTGCCCACCTCTTGGCTGTTGTCTTGGAGCCTCTGGACAGGTCACTCCAGTTGACGGCTGAACTCAAAAGCAGGGGTTGGACACCCCTAAATCCCTCCCTTCCTCCCCAGTCATCCATTCATAAACAACAAAATAGCTAATAAAAATGGGAGAAAATATGTATTAAATACATAGAAAGTAAATGATAATTTATTTATTTTTTATTTTTTTACAAACAGTTTATTGTCAAATTAGTTTCCACATAACACCCAGTGCTCATCCCCACAAATGCCCTCCTCCATGCCCATTCCCCTCCCCCCCACATCCATCAGTCCTCAGTTTTTGTCAGCATTCAAGAGTCTCTCATGGTTTGCCTCTCTCCCTTTCCCCCACCATTTCCCCCCTTCTTCTCCCCCTTGTTCCTCCGTCAAGTTCCTCCTAATCCTCCTATACGTGCAAACATATGGTAACTGTCCTTCTCTGCCTGACTTATTTCACTCAGCATAACACCCTCAATGTCCATCCATGTTGCTACACATGGCCAGATTTCATTCTTTCTCATTGCCATGTAGTATTCCATGGTATAGATAAACCACATCTCCTTGATCCATTTGTCAATCCATAAGTGGATGGACACTTAGGCTCTTTCCATGTTTTGGCTATTGTGGAGAGTGCTGCTATGAACATTGGGGTACATGTGCCCCTATGCATCAGCATTTCTGTATCCCTTGGGTAAATTCCTAGCAGTGCTATTGCTGGGTCATAGGGGAGTTCTGTTGTTAGTTTCCTGAGGAACCTCCACACTGTTTTCCAGAGGGGCTGTACCAGTTTACATTCCCACCAACAGTGTAGGAGGGTGCCTGTGTCTCCACATCCTTGCCAGCATCTAGAGTTCTCTGATTTGCTCATTTTAGCCACTCTGACTGGCGTGAGGTGGTATCTCAGTGTGGTTTTGATTTGTATTTCCCTGATGAGGAGGGATGCTGAGCATCGTTTCATGTGTCTGCTGGCCATCTGGATGTCCTCTTTGGAGAAGTGTCTGTTCATATCTTCTGCCCATTTTTTCACTGGGTTGTTTGTTTTTCTGGTGTGGAGTTTGGTGAGTTCCTTATAGATTCTGGATATTAACCCTTTATCTGATACGTCATTTGCAACTATCTTTTCCCATTCCGTTGGTTGCCTATTAGTTTTGTGGGTTGTTTCCTTTGCTGTGCAGAAGCTTTTAATCTTGCTGAGGTCCCAGTCGTTTATTTTTGCTCTTGATTCCCTTGCTTTTGGGGATGTGTCAAGTAAGAAGTTGCTGCGGTGGAGGTCAAGGAGGTTGTTTCCTGCTTTCTCCTCTAGGGTGTTGATAGTTTCCTGTCTCACGTTCAGGTCCTTTATCCGTAAATGATAATTTCTAATCTCATGTGATAGTTCCAAAATCTCGATTTTCTAGAGTGGTAGGAAGCCAGCTGTCCAAACCAAGCCAGGTGGGGCTGCTGAAGCTGGGTGATCACTCAGGAGCCTGCCCGCTCCTGAGAACCTTCAGGCCTTGGCAGAGTATAGAGCAAAACCCAGTGTTTTAACAGTAATATCCAAACCAGATACATCTTTAGAGTTCGGTCTACAGTGTACCTAAGAAATTTGCCAGAGGTTTAATTAAAAGTAAGTACTAAGAAGTCTGCAAGTGAGGCTTTCTGAATACACAAGGCAATTTGGGGGTATTTTTCTCTTTTCAGATCATCCAGGTTTGACCAGCACAAGCCAGATTGAAAAATTCCAAGAAAAGGCACAGATGGAATTGCAGGACTATGTTCAGAAAACCTACTCGGAAGACACCTACCGGTGAGGTGCAAAGATACAGTCTCTTGCTGTGGGGCAGGGGTGTGCGGCTGAATCCGTAGTCACAAGTATCTACTGTCAGCCTTTCTACCTCCGGCAGCCTGACCACACTTTAGTTCTTGCATTTCCTGGATGGTAACCGAGTATGGGAGGTGCTAGGTGGGTCAGGAATACTGGGCCATGCCAGTGTTTGCTGGGTAGCCTGTAGGTGGGACCTCAGGCTGCTCTTCTGTAACATGAGGGTTTGGAATCATTGCGGTGTGGTTCCCTCCGGGCCTCGCATTGTGCACGGATGGCAGTTCTCACGGAGATTCTCTTGGTCCAGAAGAGCAGCTCTGCCCCTCTGGTCCGCACCCACTGAAGAGGCCGAGCTAGCATGCCAGACAGAAAAGTTATCGTTGACAGAAACCAACCCTGACCTCTACAAAGGAGTGGGTTATAGAAAGTAGTAATTTTGCCATCAGATAAACTGACCCTTTGAACTCTTTTTTTGGGTAAAAAAGTTCATTTGTATTATTTGTAATGGTTGGGCAGCAAATATATGTATATATACATATACTCATATATATATATACACACACACACATGTGAGCCTTTCTCCTGCAAAACAGAACAGGAGAGTTCTGAAATAGGGCAGATTGCCTGGCAGGCTTTCCAGCCATGGAGTGGAGGAGATCTTTCCCCATGACCACCTCCAGCCCGCTGGGAGCCCCGTGAAGCACTGCGGACCTGTCAGGCACACTGCTTACTATTTCCTTCCCCACCCTGTTCTCTCAAACACTGGAGCAAAATTGACCAGTAGGATACATGGCCCCACTCTTCTCCATTTGTGTCCCCTTCACAGACCTCAATCCATAGGTGCCCCATAGAATGAAAGCGCCAGGCCCCAGGAAGACCCATTTCTGTGGTGTGATTGGGGGACCTGTAGCTGGCCCTGCTGGCAGAGAACCTCCTCTGCTTAGGCACGTCTCCATGGCCCACACACAGCTTTTGCCAGAGCAGGATCCATTTTGACTGGAATCTCTGAAAACTTCACCACGAATCTCAAGTGATTACAGCCTCAGTACATCTAGAATGGGACTGCCAGGTAACGCACCCGTACCCAGAGCTCATCCAAACCAGCCAAGTATGTGGGCAAGTGGGCGAGCAAGCTGTCCCTTGAGGAAGCCAGGGGCCTCCTCCCACACAGTGCCTGTGCTCAGAAGAGGCTGGAAATGCCCCTGTAGGGGCTGCTGGCAGAGCCACAGCACACTAGAATCATCTTGACAACAGCAGCTCTCTGGCCTTTGAAAGTAGGTGTTTCTGCAAAAATCTAGTTAGGGACCGGGGATAAAGGGGCTGACAAGCCAAGTAATTTGGAACCAAAAATGAGATAAGGGAGGCTTTCTCAGAGAATCACCTGAAGACAGTTCCCCTAAAAAGGGCCCTAGGACGGTTGACATTGGTTTCTGCATTCATTGCTTTAGTCTTTCCCTTGTTATGCCTTTTCTCATACTGTTTACTCCTCCTGAAATAACCCTCCCGTCCATCCCCATTGTTTGTATCTCTGCTGAGAGAAACCTCAGTCAGCCTCTAAGGCCCCTGTCCCAACCCCACCCCAAGAAGTCTTCCCTGATTGACCCTTGCAGACTTCCCAAGACCCTTCATCCTGTCCACCCTTTATGGTCTGTGGTGTTCCCTTACACCTTTGTGTGCCCTGCAAGGCTCACAGTGGCTGGGCGAATGGATGATGGTGCTGGAATGCTGCTTGGATAATCTGTATTTTCTCTTTTTAAAAATAACAGTGTTCACTGTAGAAAAAAACTTAGAGGGGCGCCTGGGTGGCTTAGTCGGTTAAGCGTCCGACTTTCGCTTAGGTCGTGATCTCGCGGTTCGTGGGTTCGAGCCCCGCGTCGGGCTCTGTGCTGACTGCCAGCGCAGAGACTGGAGCCTGTTTCAGAGTCTGTGTCTCCCTTTCTCTCTGACCCTCCCTTGCTCACGCTGTCTCTCTCTCTATCTCCTAAAAATAAATAAAAATATTTAAAAAAAAGAAAAAAAAAAAAAAACTTAGAACATTCTGGAAAGTAAAATGAAAACTTTTAGGTTCATGTAAATACCACTATCTATAAGTAACATTTTATGCATTTCCTTCTAGTAGTTTTTTATGTTTGTATAACTGAAATCATAAAATCCAAAGTAAGGTTTTGTAACCCATTCTTCATGTAATATTCAACAAGCGTACTTCTGCATTTTCTGTGGCTGAGGAGATGCTGTAATTTCTTTAGCACTCTCCTACTAATGAAAATGTAGGTTGTTTCCAGACTAGGCTGGCACACAGTGGCATCCCCGCACATGTAGCTTTGTGCAGCATCTGTGGAATGGCCAGTCACATGGGATGCTTCAGATATAGTGCCCAGTGGCCCATCAGGACAGGGTTATGGTATGTCCTCCCACCCAGGGTGTTTTCAAAATAAAACCCATTTTATGGCTTCATTTTTTTTTTTTTATGATGCTATATGAACACTAGAGTAATACAGAAAAAGGTTAATGAGCAAAACCCTCCAGAGCCCCAAACCCAGAGATAAACCATTCGCATTTTGGTGAACATCCTTCCAACTACTTTTGTACACATGTCACACAAATATACACAAATGAGATTGCCTTATACTTGCTGCTTCCCAGTCTACTCAGCTGTACATCACAGACTTCTTTCCTTATCAGTAAATATAGATCTTTTTCATACTTTTTAGTGAGTATATAGTGTGGTCTTTTATATGGAGACACACCATACTTTATTGTAACCTGTTCTTTATTGATTTCCAAATTTTTCTCTTTTAGTGGGGGTGGGGAGAATTGTTTTGAAACATTTCAACATACATCTTTGTACTCAGTTGTGATTTTTCTCTAATGATAAACCCCTACAAGAGGACTGTTGAAATTTGAAACACAAGGGGGTAGGTCACAGGTCTGTTTTGATTTCAAGCAGTGCAGAGAGGGTCCCTGGGAGCCTGTCCAGGAGAAGTCTAAAGGGCAGTGAACTCGCTTTCTCTGATGAGCCTCCCTTTTACAGATTGGCCCGGATTCTCGTTCGCCTGCCAGCACTCAGGCTGATGAGTTCCAACATAACAGAAGAACTTTTTTTTACTGGTCTCATTGGCAATGTTTCAATAGACAGCATAATCCCCTACATCCTCAAGATGGAGACAGCAGAGTATAACGGCCAGATCACCGGAGCCAGTCTATAGTGTGCCGCACGCCTGCCAAGCAGCAGAAGGATGCTCCCAGGACCGCTCAGATACAGAGAAAATAAAGTAGTGGTATTTTGGTATGTGCAAATATTTCCAGTATGTTAGCCATTTCCTACCTGGTTTCTTCATATCTGTTAATCCCAGACAATAGCAACTAAAAGACTAGTAGGATCCTTTCCTACCATAAGAAATGTTTTAATGCCTTTTGATGAAGCAGATTTTGGAACAGTCTTTTAACCTAATTTGTATTTAGAGATTCTCAAAGGGCAAAAAACAAAGTTTTATAACGTCAGAGACTAGTATTAAAACTAAACGAACCTAAGAAAACAGTATGTGTGTATATATATTAAAATTTTCCTTGGAATTAATAGCTACTAATTACCAGGGTAATAATATTAGCACTTTCTAAGCACTTCTTATCAATGCGTATGTTAGCAACATCTTGCCTATGGGCAGGACAAATGGAAAACTGTATGTCTTTTGCTGAAATGCTAATGATTTGTGAAAACGCAATAGGGTACAGGAGACAATCATTTATGTTTAAGAAAAGATGGCATCATTCCTAATTGTATGCACACATTGGTGGTGTTAAACTCAATTCCTATGAACGAATGAAAATGTGACTCATCTGTATCATGCAGTAAGTGGGAGTGTGTAGTACAGTCAGTGGTGGCCCAAACCGGAAGCTTCCTCAGCTGTTGAGTTGGTGATGCTTGTCAGGTTCCCTGACCTCTGGTTCTGGCCTGTGACTGGCATCTACAGGCTCCTCCAAACCTGGGGCTCTCTTCTGATTACTGGTTCTCAGAATTGGATTGCAACCAGTCAGACATTAACTGCCAATTCCTGCAGCAACTGAAAACATCCCCAAATCACCTCCACCACTCAGCAGACAGAGCCTTCTGACCAAAAAGTGCAAGGTGGGCATTTTGAATCTGACAGTAATTCCTGAATGCAGTCTAGATGGTTGCTCATTGTTCAGATGGAGTAAGAAGGTTCCCTTCTCAGGGGTTTCCATTCCAAATGCCCCCTTGAAAAGGGCCTGTATTCCTGCAGTTCACTCAGAACTGTGAGGTGATTTGGGGGAGGGGTGCAGGATTTCACTGCCTGCCCTGGGGTAGTGGTGATGGCGTGGCTAAAATGAAAGGGGTTCTCTGTTGACCTTGAATATCAGGGTTTTTCAGAGTGTTTCCAGACTCCACATTTCTGTTGGCAGATCTCTGAATGCTGCTGGTACACCATGCACTTTGATCCCCCCAGGTATGTACCAGCAAAGAACCCTGGAGCATTTTAGGCGATGTGTGCAGAAGCAGGCTCCCTGCTCCTTATAAAAACCCCTAACTCCCAAAGTTATCTTCTTTCTCCTAAGTTACAGCCACCATCATTTACAAGAGCAGAATGCTGTATAAGGATGTTCTGTCTAGAGAAGAGCATAAATTCCCATGGATGTGAGTAAGCGGTGGGCATTTCCTGCTTGGGAAAAGTGGCATGTCCAAGACCAGATCAGGTACTCTCCATTTCCTTTTTGTACAGCCCAGGTTAAGAAAATACAGCTTTAGGTTAAACTTGCATCTCCCGGGACCTTTTGATCAGATGGTATACAGAAAGATCCCAATGTACTTCCCCTGCCTCACAGGCGCTCCCTGGTCTGGCTCAGCCCCTGGGCAGGGTGGGGCCTCGTGTGCTATGTAGGTGCCCAGCCAGCCAACCACTGGCTTATGACAAAATAGGATTCTCTGTTCTGGAGTGTTAGCAGCAAGTGGGTATGGTTATCTCGAACTTCTAAATTCCTGTTTGAATTTATTTATAGTTCAGGCCTTGGAAACACATTTTGGAGATCATAGGGGTGCCCATTATAAAATGATGGAAAGAATTTAATTTTGCCAGCTTAGATTTTTGGTTTCTAACTTTGAAGTGATTTAAATTTCAAAATTAAGAACAACAAAAAAAGCCAAGACCATGGAGTTAGGGCAGGTCTGTTTCATTTCTGCTCGTGAAGGATTTTAGCAGAGGGTATTTTCAAGCGAGTTTATGCATCTTTCACAGCAAGTTGCCTCTTTTCTGTTCAATTTTTTTAATGTAAGCACGTCTATTGATCACAGAGCCATTCCCTGGCCACACCTGTGTCACATCTCCCCGATCTGAGTTCTCCGTGTGGAGATATTTTTGCCTTTAGATAATGGGCCGGCTTATCCAAGACCTCGACTGAGGCTCCAGCGACACCACTGTTGGTGAGGTTTGGGGGCACAGGAGGTGATAACCAGCAGGAAGACTGTGAGCGTTTGGGTGAGTGAGTGCTTCACTGTGGCAGGATAGCCCTGGACAAACATGGGGTCAGCTTGGAGGGTTGTTGCTTCTGACCTAGTCTTGCCCCTTGAGTCCCTTCACTAGTGATGGCTGTTGACCATTTTGGGCTTTGAACACTCAGTAGTTTCCCAGGTCCTCTTGGCTTTACTTTGAAGTAGCCTTTTCCCTAAGGATCATGTTCACACAAGCTAATTTCTTGCTGCCTCGAATCATTTCACACCTTGGACAGCAGGTCCATCCCATCTTGGCAGATTGGTTAAGAAGCTCAACGTCGAATTTTTTAAAGGGATCCCAAGCGAACACTGAGGCTCAACTTTCACAAGGCTTACCCCTCCTTGGTAGTTGGTGAAAGTCGGGATTCAGTTAGGTGAGGCCAGCCCTCTGTCCACTAGGTCTGAGTGAAATAAGCCAGGAGCAGATTCTTAGTCACACAGCTTGCGCACATGTCCCTTCTGCTAACCTGACCCTTCTTCCCTTGTGAGAGAGGTCTGTCGGCTAAACGACCTGGTGATACACACACACCGCTGCTTCTGGATGAAATGGGCTCTTTTCCAGCAGTATCTCAGATAATGCTAGACAGTTATATGTTGAAATTCTGGAGGTCATTACGTACAATGATAAAACAGGACAGGAAGAGACTTGGAAAGTATCATTTGCTTGAGTAATTTTTCTAAGCGATTCCACCCTTCTAATTTGAGATTTGTGTGTCTATTGGGGGGTTACCATTATTTATTGTCTAGCTTCTGCCATGAGGTTGTGGTTGGGGTTCTTTTATTGTTTGGGATTTTATATTTAATGGCAAGTACAGCCACTTGTTGTAAGATGTTATGTAAATGCCCTCAAGAGGAATGGTTTTCTAACTTCTCAGTATTAAATGTGAACTCTGTTCTGACGCGGTTGCCACCAGCCATGGTGACAGCGATGGACGCACCCACTCTTGGGCTCCCTGATATGGCAGCCACAGTACATACATACTTAGCTGTGTGGCTTGTTTTGGGGATAGCCATGGCAGGGAGCTAAGAATTAGAAGGGTTGTATCTAGTGCTTTTTATTCTGGGGAAAAAAATACATCCTAATCCCTTGGGGGAATTTCCAGTAGAGCAGTCTTGCCCCCGAGCCTGTCTCCGCCTGACAAGCAGCCTTGGCTATGAATCCAGGTTCTAGGACCTGATCAGATCAGAGTCCAGAAGCTTGTTGCCCACCTGCCAGTAGAAAGGGCCTCATGTGCAGTAGGGGCTATAGATGACATTTCATCTCTAAGTGTAGGCCATGAAGTGTCATCTTCTGACATTCACTTTTATCCCCGGGGGTGGGGGGGAGGGGGCGGGCTGGGGAGGCAGTGCCCTTTAGATCCTGGAAGGTTAGAGCAGGCTGGGCAGCTGCCCACGTGTCCTGTGTCCCACTTCCAGTCTCTGGATTGTACGGCTCTTTGAAAATGTCTTAACTTTGATGTAAATTTGTAAAAAGCCAAGCCCTAATCGAGATAAGAGTGGGTTTGGGTCTTTTGTACACAGGGTTCTGGACATCCTCACATGTGCCTCTTGCCAGTGCACATTGCGCGTGTCCAGCCCTGGGAACCCTTCAGCGGCATTGTGCGTGTACAGATTTATAGGCTTGTATGACTGAATGAATGTACATGTGTTTATATATGTACAGTGTATATAGTGTGTGTATGTGTACATAGATGTATATTATGTATACAGACATGTAGCCATGTATCCAAAGTTTCCTTATGTTTTAAAGAGAGTCTATGATAGAGTTGCTAAAAGTAAATTGATGTGGGTGTTCCAAGGTCCCTCAGCAGGATGGATTTGCTAATATTTTAACTCCATTTTCCTTTGGGTAAGCCTGGCTGGGAAAGGCCACAAAGACAGAATCTCCACTCTGTACCAGGGAAGATTCCAGACAGAAAAGGTCCTGACAGGAGGACATTGCTAGCTATTCTCCAGGTTCAGACAAGGGCCAGAAAGTTAGAAGGCCATTTATCCTGATGTCTAAAACTAGGTGGGGACCTTTAACTGGCCACCACGCACCTGTTTATGGCCTAACTAGAAGGAACTTGGTAGTAGTGGGAGCCATCGGCCTTCCTGGAGACAGGCATCCCAGAGATGCAGAGTGGCCCCTGTTCTGGGGCCTGACTCCCAGCGTGGTAGTGATTTCCTGCGCTCACTCCGGACTAGCAAGTAGGCACTGCCCGGTGGCTAAACAGATTCCCATCTCTCTAATGCCAGCTGAGAAAACCTACCAAGGAGTCTTTTAGAATAAGCATGAATATTATCACTAAATTATGGTATAGAAGTCACAAATCTTAAATTAACTAGCATGAGGTGAATAAAATCCACTGATGTAAATCCTTTCTATAAACTGATTTAAACACACCAGATAAAAACTGCATTTTAATATGGCTACATGTGCCCTTTAAGCTACAGATACCTAATTTTCCTCATCCAGGTCTATTCTGATGAATTTTCCCCCTTATTCGGGCTTTAAACTGAGACCTGGTACTCAGGAGCCGGGGCCTGTGGTGAGCGGGGCTGGAGGGCTGAAAGCCGCCCTGCTGAAGGGAACTGGAGAACTGCAAAAACTCCCATAACCCATAGGTTTTCTGTTGTTTTTTTTAAATAAGCTACTGAAATGTTTGAAACGCTTCATTGAGACCATAGTACTCAGTGCCTTTTGTGAGATGGTGGGTCATTTAGCCTTCAGCTTCCGTCTATCTGACGTAAGAGAAGCTCCTACTTCGCTGGCCTCATCCACCAGTACTCCCTGACCTTCCCCTGTCCTTGCCTGTCATGACAATCACTCTTGAAGGTGGCTTTCCGGTTAAAATACAAGAGGAAGCTTGACAGTCTCTCAATCTTCAAAGTAAAAACTTTCATTTGGGGCTATCTTAACAGCAATCTAAGAATAATTAAACGTTGAGCTTAAGAAGAGTATCTTAGGGGTGGGGAATGTCTGAGATACTTTGGAGGCCCAGCTATACCTCCAGTTCCGAAGCCAATAATTTGGGTGTCTCAACATTTATACACAGCATAGAAAAAAATGCTATAAAAAATGCTATAAAAATAAATGTTGGGAAAAACATTTATCAACTGACAGACTGAGAAAGCTTAGTATTTGGATGACATTTGGAAGTAGTAGACTTTATGTTAAAAACTGCTTTTCTTTAGAAATGCCTACTCAATTACCATCTTAATGACCAGAGCGGCCTCGAGCTCAGACGCTGCTGCCACACAACTCAAGTGCTGGGATATTTTTCTACAGCCTCCGTTCTCCCAACTACCTTGTAATAAACCAGTGTTCAACTAGTTTTATAACTGAAAAGCTGCACATTTTTCATAGTACAAACCCTAGTTTTTACCTGTAGTTTGGACCTCTCCGTTAAAATGTAGCTGCATTACCAGCCCTTTTAAAAGACATCTGTTAAAGGAAAATTCGGGTGTTCGATTTTCTTGGGACCGTTTCTGTAACTTCTGCCCTTCACAATATAGAAAATACTGTTTATGCCATTACATTTTAATTCCAGGTTTAAAACCTGTCAAAAGCTGTAGCTTGAAATCAGCTTTTTTATGTGATGGCATTTAAAAAATAGCATGTTCTTTTTAAACTGAATTTTATATCTAATCAATGTCTTCAGTCTTGAAGAAGAATTTGCATTGTTGTGTTTGTATATAGAGTATTGCAGTGCATGAATTAGCTTTATGCATTTTATTAAATGCTGTTTCAATGTGGCATTATTGTTGTGGCTTAATACTACTACCTAAATGAGGTTTATACTATTAAAAAAGTAAATTAAAGACTAGTGTGCATCTGCTCATTTCTTCAAGTAACACCAGTTATGCCTGATGCCCAGGGGTACCCGCAGGGTCTCCCCCAAGGGGTACCTCCCATCTGACTTGCATATGTACCTTTAGTGGGAAAGGAAGGCGTGGCCCTTTCCAGTGAGGCCGCTCCTGGCTGTGGAGTCCAGGCCTCCAACCAGAATAAAAATGTGTTCGGAAAGTTGTAGAAGTTGGAAAGAACTTATGCAGTGGTGGGTCAGGTGACCTCTCATTTTACTGGTGAGGATTCTGAGAGCCAAAGTCAGATTCTTGACAGAACCCACTGGCAGCCAAATAATATGAACACTATGCAAATAAAACTGAGTGAGTCAGTTATAAACTCCTCATAGCAATCTTTTTTCCCTATTTCTATAAAATTTAAACTCCTTTTTTATCACAACTAAACCAAATGGGAAACAGAAGACTAAAGGTTCGAAGAGATAACAGCTCCCCCCCCCCCCCCCCAAGAGTGCTTATTTCAAATATCTGTAAAGAGTAAGGGTGGCAATGTCTTGTCTCCTGATCAGCAAACAACCTTTCTGGGCCCCTGTGGGCGATGGAGGGAAGAGGTACTTACTTCACCAGCCCTGGCTCACTTGCCTGCACGCTCTCAGAAAAGCTCCAGTGGCCCAGTCGCAGCCTCAGCTGGCGTGAAGGCCAAGGCAACAGTCAGCTGGGCAGGGTTATTAAAAAACATGACAGGAAGGGTGAGCATGGAGGACAGATTTCTCCACCCAGCCTCCAAAATGGTAAAGGGAGAAGGTGCACGGCGGTGTGGACCTGCAGCTGTCCCTGCCCCTCCCCCCGGACACAAGTCTGGTATGAAACCACCACCTGAATGTCAACTGTAAACGGAGCCAAATCCCTCCCGATTTAATAGGCTGATCCCCCAACATTTATATAAAACGTTCTGGGTCCACATCATTTCCCTGACAGACTAGCTCCTGCCCTCCCCCTGTTCCCGTTCCCCTGACCCCACTAGCCAGCCATTTCCCACAGGGCAGAGTCTCAGCCAAGTAAGCCTTGAAGTAAGCCCAGAGGGCTCTGCGGTCACCTGAGGGTTGAAACCAGCTGTGACAGCAATAGCCGTGGGGGGGAGAACTGGGTGGACCTTCACTCCATCTTCCAAACCTTAGAGAGTGAGGCCTGATGAGCTTGAGGACAGGGCCTCAGGGTCTCAGCCAGCCAGCACCCCTGCCCCTCCGGCCCCCTGCTCTGCAAACCTACCTGTGAACAGGGCCTGCAAGTGGCAGCTGGTGGTGGCTGCCTCATCAGGGCCCACACCTGAGGGAGGTCGGTCTGTGGCCACCATGGGGGCCTCCTATGCGGCCTGCTCGCCTGCAGCCAAACTTCTTGGGTTGGCTTTAGTTTAAAAGGGGACTCACGCTGCCATCCAGACGGCTCCAGCCAGATCCTGTCAGATCCAACCACAGCGGCTCCTAACTCTCCAGCAAGGTCTGGAAGAAAAATTGAAGCCAACAGAGACCAGGCCAGGCCAGCAGGACTGACACAGGGACGTCAGCAGGGAGGCCTTCCTCCTGTGCCCAGCACACCAAACACGCAGCACGCCTCTGGAGACCTGGAAGCATTTTATTGACCTGGAGTGGGGACGGTCTGGCAGCTCCAGGGCAGACACTCCCCCCTCCCTCCCGTGTCCTTCCACACAGCCGTGTGACGGGAACGCTTCAGCCAAAGAGATTTTCAGAGTCCCTTCGAGGACAGGCAGGGGTGTCCCTGAGCGTGGCCTGGGGCCTTAGTCCTGGGCGCTGGCTTTCAGCATCGCTCTGTACTTCCCTGTCATCTCCTTGGGTAACGGCACCAGGCCCGGGCAAGGGACCTGCCCCTCCACCTCGCAGATGCACTCCCGCAGGCAGTACTTGCGGGGGCCAAAGTGAGCCGGGTGAGAAAGCTGCTTTTTCTCCTCCTCCTCTCTTTCCAGGGTCTCCCTGCCAGAGAGCACAGACAACAGGTGAGGGAACGCTGCTCTGAGCCCCTGGCATCGTGGGACTTCCCGGCCACGTGCAGCCCGCCATCAGCCAGGGAGGCCTGGCTCTTCTGTGTCTCGCGACCTGCTCCTCAGTCCCGCCTGATGGCCTCCCCCGCACGCTGGCCACAGGCCTGGGCCCGCACAGCGGCGGGTGGCCTTCCCGCGGCCTTGAGGCGGCCCCAGCTCTGACTCAGCACGTGGTTGGGAGGCAGGGGCCTGTGAAGGACTCGTGTGCTTCCCCTCGGGCCATACTTTCTTGGCTTCCCTCCCCCTTCCTCCTTCCATCCATGTAAGAAAGATGGATCTCAGCATGTGCTGGGGTGAGACCCCCCACCTGCCCCAAAGGGAGATTCCCAAGGAGACCTGGCCACAACCGCCCAGGGCGAGTGCTCCCCCAGCACCTCAGCTGGAGACAAGTCCAGGAGACAGGGAGGGAGGTCTCTGTCCCCACCTCAGAGGGCGGCAGAGCTCACAGAGGCGCACACACGGGGAGCGGCAAAGCTAGAGGGAACGGACTGTGCAGCCTGCGCTTTGGCTGGTGTGTGCCCTCCTGATGCCCCGCCTGTGCTGACACACCTGTCCCCTCCAGGTCAGCCCCATCAACTCACTCGCTCTTCCCCAATATTTTTTTGATGTGCTCCATGATCTCCTTATTGCTCTTGGTCTCCACATCCATAAGGACCTGCTCCCCGGAATCTGGAAACGGGAAGCAAAGGGGACAAGCAGCATTGAGGACTCAGCAGCGTGCTTCACAGCCTCCAGTGGTGCTGATGCATTCGCCTTCAGTAAGATAAATGTGTTTGTCCACATAACCCATAATGCTACCCTTCTTTTTCCACATTTCTTTAAACATGAGCAAATTTGAGGTACGTGCAAAAGCATACTATTTTAATGGAAAGCAGTTTTCCACATTCATGGATAGAATATTCAATATTATTAAGATGGCAATTCTCCCCACACTAGACCATGGATTCAGTGTAGTCTCTATCCAAATCCTAGCAGGTGTTTTCATAGAAACAGACAAATCGAGCCTCAAATTCATGCAAAGGACCCAAAATAGCCAAAACAATTTTGAAAAACAAAATGGAGGCTCCTGGTTGGCTGAGTTGGTTAGGCATCCAACTCAGGTTGACTCAGGGCATGATCCCAGGGTCGTACTACAGAGCCCTGCGTCAGGCTCCGTGCTCAGTACGGAGCCTGCTTAAGCTCCTCTCTCACAGCCCCTCCCTTCTCCCTGACTCACACTCTCTAAAAAAAAAAAAAGAAAAAAGTTAAAAAGTCAAAGACAAGAAAATGAGAGGGTGTTCATGTTCCAATTTCAAATTTACTATAACCGACAGTAACCAAGACAGTGTGGTATTAGCCTAAGAACACACTATAGACTGATGGAAGAGAACTAGGTCCAGAAATAAACCCCTATTTTTGGCCAACTGACTTTCAGCAAAGATGCCAATGCCGAAAAAAAAAAACAGGAAGAAAACCTGAAAATGGATCAGAGACCTATATGTAGGAGCTAAAACTGCTATAAAACTTTTAGAACATAGACAGTCATAACCTTACCTAGACAAAGATTTTTAGATATGACATCAAAATCATGGTCCACTAAAGAAAACAATCTGATAAACTGAAATTCATGAAAGTTGAAAACTTGTGTTTTAAAAGATACCAAAAGCCAAAGACTAGGTCAAAATACTCCTAATGTAGACATCTGATAAAGGACCTGTATCCCACTGTATAAAGAACTCTCACAACTCCTTAGAATAATCCAACAAAAATATGAAACATGTAAAAAAAAATTTTAAGGACAAAAATACAATGGTTAGTAGCAAACACATGAAAAGATACCCTTCATCAATAGTAATTAAGAAAATCAAATTAAAACCATAGGACAATATTGGAGTGGCTCAAATTTTTTTTAAATGGGTAACACAAGTGCCAGGGAGAGTGCAGAGTAACTGGAACTTTCCTACACAGCTCATAAAAATGCAAAATATCATAGCCACTCTAGCCAGTGAATACACAGAGAAAGAAAAAAAAAAGACTGGAAAGGAAGAAAAACTATCATTATTTACAGATGAAATGATTGTGTATGTTGAAAATCCTAAGGAATTTAGAAGAGAAAACCTACTAGAAATAATAACTTATTAGCGAGGATGCAAGACACAAGGCCCACACACAAAAAGCAACTGGACTTCTATAAACATGTAACAACTAGAAAATGAATAAAAAAATAACACTTTTCACAACAGTGACAAAACATATTCAACATTGTTAAAATGTCCATTCTTAAAATGATCTGCAATGTGATTCCAATCAAAATCCCAGCAAGTTTTTCTAGAAACTGGCAAGCAGTTTTTAAAGTTAATATATAAATTCAAAGAACATACCTATAAAGTGATGGAGGGGGGGCAGACAAAGCTGAATTTAAAACTACCTGATCTTAGGGGCGCCTGGGTGGTTCAGTTGGTTAAGTGTCTGACTTCCGCTCAGGTCATGATCTCTCAGTTCATGGGTTCAAGCCCCACATTGGGCTCTGTACGGACATCTCAGAACCTGGAGCTGCTTCAGATTCTGTGTCTCCCTCTCACTCTTGCCCCTCACCTGCTCATTCATTTTCTCTTTCTCTCTCAAAACAAATAAAAACATTTTAAAGATAATTTCTTAACTACCTGATCTTAAAAGACTTACTAGAAAGCCACAAACCAAGACACTGTGGTATGAGCCTAAGAACAGACATGATCAGTGAGAGGGTGAAGAGACCAGAAGTATATGGTCAGATGATTTGTGTGTGTGGGAAAATACACATAACAAAATTTACCATTTTAAACCATATAATTCTGTGGTTTTTATTCAATCCAAAATGCTGTGCAACTGTAACTGCCACCACTATCTTGTTCGAGAACTTTCTCATCGCCCTAGAGAGAACCCCTGCACCTGTTAAGCAGTCACGTCCTATTCACACCACAGCAGCCTCAGCCCTAGACAGCCATCTTCTGTCCCTATGGACTGGCCTGTTCATACATTTTATATAAACAAAATCAATGTAATCTGTGATTATTTTGCATCTGCCTTCTCTCATTTGGCTTATGTTTTCAAGCTTTGCCTGTGCTGTATCACCTGTCAGTACTTTGTGCCTCTTCATGGCTGAATAAAATTCCCACTGAGTGGATATACCATGTTTTGTTCATCCATCCACAGTTGATGCATTTTGACAAAAATGCCAAGGACACTAAGTAAGGGAAAGGATGGTCATTCACCATGTGGTGCTCTAACACCTGAGTATCCCAACCCCAAAAAACAAAAATGAACCTTAAGCCCTATCGCACTTAATACACAAATAACTCAGATTATATATCAGAGACCCAAATATGCAATCTACAACTATAAAACTCTGAACGGAAATAGAAGAGAAAATCTTTGCAACCATATAGTAGACAGGAGCTTTCTTGGACAGGACACAAAAAGCACTAACCATAAAAAAGAACTGACAAGCTAGAGTTCATTAAAATTAAAACTGTGCTCTTCCAAAGAAACCATTATGAAAAGCAAGCCAGAGACTGAGAGACAATATTCACAACACACAAACGTGACAAAACAACTGTATCCAGAACATACAAAGAATTCAACAAGAAAACAAAGAGCCCGATTTTTTTTTAAATGGACAAAAGATTCAAAGAGACTCTTTACAGAGAAATCTATGAACAGCCAATAAGCACAAGAAAAGATATGGGGAAATGTAAAACTTCAATGAAGCCTGAAAAGGCTAAAATTTAAAATATTTAATGTGGTAAGCCTCAAAACAGCTCCCTGTCCCGTTCCTCCAGAACGTGTGACTAGGTGATCTTAGGCAGCAAAAGGGGCTGTCGGATGTGAGTCAGGTTGAGGACCTGGGGATGGGGCCGTTCTGGATAATGTGGGCAGCCTAAATTAATCACACAGCTCCTAAAATCAGAGAACCCATCTGGGCTGTGTTCCAAGGGGCAGGTGACCGTGGGAGAACAGCCAGCCATGCCATGCTGCTGTCCTTGAATATGGAGGGAAGGGCCACAAGCCAAAGAATGGGGGTGGCCTCCAGGAGCTGGAAAAGCCACATGGAATGAATCTGCCCTCAAACCTCCAGAAAGGAAGGCTCTGCTGGCACCTTGATTTCTGTTCATGTAGGACTTCTACCGAAATGGAAGAAGAAATTTGTGTTGTTTTAAGCCTCCCCACCCGCGGTCATTGTTAGAGCAGTGATGGGGAACCAGTGTAACTAATAGTAGCAAAAAAAACCCAAAAAACACCCTAATGCAAACGACAGCAGGTAAGGACGTAGAGCCACGGGGACTCCCGCGCCGTCCTGACTGCAGGGTGCCAGGCAGTTCACAACAGCATCTGGCAGCTACACACCTATCCTGGGGCTCAGCAAGCCCAGCCGGAGGCGCACACCCAGGAGAACAAAGTGCCCACATCCGCAAAGTCCACTTGTGCAGGAGGTGCTGATGCACACCTCTTCGTAGCCAGAAACTAGACACCACCGGCAACAGTCATGGAGGCCCTCCTGGAGGAGGTGTCCAGGACCTGGCAGGCTCGGCCCAACCCAGAGCCAGAACTTCCTGCCGAGCCACCCCGGACTCGCTCAGGCCTGTGCCGCCTTCTGAGGTGCGTCCAGACCTCCTTCCTTCGCCCTTTCCTTCCAGAGATGTCCAACTTGCTCGGCCACCTGAAGACTTTCCCTATCCTCTTCCTCCCTTTATCGCCAATAAATCTACTTCTAACTCTGTCCCGGCATCTAACAAAAGCCCAAATGATTATCTATCAACAGGTGAATGGACAAATAAACTGGCATGGTCCTCCAGTGGAGCCTGACTCAGCACTAAAAACGAATAAACTACTGATACACCCAACAGATGAGTCTCAAAACATAAGGAAAAGCCAGACACAAAAGAATATTTATACACAGAAAACCTGTGTTTTATTATGGGTAAATTATAACTCCATAAAATTAATTTTTAAAATGCAAACACAAAATAAACACACAGAACTGCTACAGCACGGACATTCTCTTCACCCCCCTGACCTTGCTCTAGTTTTTCTTTCACAGCATTTATCCTCTGACATGCTGTCTTGTTAAGTTTGTCCATTCTGTCCCTCCTGCTCGGATGTCCTCTCTACAAGAGCAGAGACCTTCGTCTCTGTGGCTCCCTAATACCTCGGGCGCTGTGTATGTCTGGGCCCAGCGGACACTCCATACATATTTGCTGGATGAATTTAAGAACAGGATTATTTTGCTTCCTGAAACAGTTCCCAAACTACACTTCAGTTGGTGCTTGTAACTGTGTAAAGCAGATGTTGGACCTTCACCCGAGAAATTAATCAGTGGGACTATGACTTGCTCATGGTCAGAATCGCTGAGTAGAGCTGGGCCAAAACATCGAGGCACTGAGCCCAATGTAACCAAACAAGAGATTCACTCAGTGCCTCACTGAACAGGAGAGCATAGTATAAGCGTGAGCTCCAGAAGTGGACACACAACACGGACACACACTGCTCAAGAGGACGTGGCCAGCACTGAGAGGGCAGCTGGGGGAGGTGGGAGGACCAAGGTAAGAGTGCAGGGAGGGCTTCCTGGAAGAAGTGGTGCCCAAGTGGAGTCTCTGACGGATTTTTAAAATATATCAATAAGTAGAAAGTAAGTTTCCAGCAGAGGGACCAGCATTAGCAAAGCATGAAGGTGAGGTGTGGCAAGGGAATCTGGAAGGGTCTGCTGTAGGGTGTGAGGCAGGGAGAAGACACGGGGCGGGGGGGGGGGGGTGCAGTAGAGATGGGGCTGGAGAGATGGGGGAAGAGCCCAGGCATCAGATCTCCCCTGAGGGCTAAGGCAGAGGGAAAGGATGGGGAAAAAGACTGTCCCGGCCTCAGCAGAGACCACACTCACCCAGATAGAACCGCAGGAAGGGGGACGGTGTCATGTTCTTAAACATTATGATCTGAACCCAAGGATTTTTGTACTGGATCTGAGGTATGTTGAAAAACACAAATTTCCTGCAAAAGGGAAGAAATTAAACCTGTGAAACAGAGTTTTTACCTTGAAATGCTGTACATTTCTGTATTTTTTGAGGGAAAGTCCAGAATTTTCATGACTCACTGGGAATCCTGCCCCACAAAAAGGCTGAGAAAAGCAGCAGTTCAGAATTTATTTCTATATTCTCTGAACAGTGGGTGTCAGGACTCGTGGTTTATCATTTGAGGGAAAAGACAGCTGTCTCCCTACTTCACCCTGCAAACTAACCTAAAACTCACCGAGAAGTATAAATGTAAAAATAAAACTATGAACTGTCCCAGATCGTGTGTGCTGGTTAGACAGGTGTGTTCACTCATAGGTAGAAGCTCATCGAACTGTATACTTACAGGTGTGCACTCACATAAATGATCCCTTAATGAAAAAATAAATAAAAACATTGGGGCACCTGGATGGTTCAGTTGAGCATCCAACTCTTGATACGGACTCAGGTCGTGATCTCCTGGTCATGGAATCAACCCCCATGTCAAGCTCCACACTGAGTGGAGCCTACTTGGGATTCTCTCTGCCCCTCCCCAAATTGCACATGCATACACACGCTCACTCTCTTAAAATACACTTTAAAAAAAATAAATAAAAATAAATAAAAGCAAACATGGGAGAATATTTTTACAACTTAAGACGGGGGAGACCTTTAAACTTAAGTTTAAAACACAGATAGGGGCACCTGGGTGAGTCTGTTGGTTAAGCATCCAACTTCAGCTCAGGTCATGATCTCATGGTTCGTGGGCTCAAGCCCTGACAGCTGTGCTGACAGTTCAGAGGCTAGAGCCTGCTTCAGATTCTGTGTGTATGTGTCTCTCTCTGTCCCTCTTCCATTCACACTCTCTGTCTCTCTCTCAAAATGAAAAAACATTTAAAAAAAAAAAAAAAGAACAAAGTAGATGAAACACACATAAATATGACCACCTTTAAACTTTTACATGGCAAAATTTACCCGAAACGTAACATTTGCCACAAGAAAAATCTTTGTACAACATAAAACAAAAATCTAATTCCTTTGATAAAGTTTTATGCATCATAAGGTTTACAGTTCAACAACATGGGGCGCCTGGGTGGCTCAGTTGGCTAACCGTCCAACTTCGGCTCAGGTCATGATCTCACAGCTCGAGTTTGGGCCCAATGTCAGGCTCTGTGCTGACAGCTCGAAGCCTGGAGCCTGCTTTGGATTCTGTGTCTCCCTCTCTCTGCCCCTCCCCTGCTCACGCTCTTTCTCCCTCTGAAATTTAAAAAAAAAAAAAAAAGTTCAACAACAAAGGCCACAAATAGGCAGAAACCCAAATAGCCTATCATCTTAAGAGAGTCTCAATACCTTACCAAGAGTCATGTAAATTAAAATAGGATTCTTTTCCACCTGTTAGATTGCTAAAGATTAAAGAAAGAAGTTAGAGGAGTCAGGAAAAACCTCCTTAAGAATTGGTTTAACCTCTTTGGAGGTCAACTTGGAACTAGCAAATTTTTAAAAGCTTAGATCTTGACTCTGATTTCATTGCTTTTAGATATGTTCACACTTGAAAGGACATTATTTGTTTCAGCAAAGAAACAGAAACAACAAACGTCCCTTGAGAGATGACTAATTAAGACACAGCTACATGTCTGAATCCCTCTTCACCTACGCTCCATCCTCAACGGCTAACCTACTTGGACTAGGAGGTGGGTGAGCTTCCTTGACCTCTGACATCATGTTGGGTTTGGCCAACAGTGAACACTGGCAAGACTGGAAGGACGGGGCAGAGTCAAAGTATTCTCTCCCTGACTTCCCTCCTGGCTGAGTCCCAGGCTCCTGTTAGGCAGTCCTCTCCCTCTCACTTCTGCAAACCTAGACCTGGGGTCCTGCACTGTTCCTTGTGGTTTCTTTTCCCCATCCTTGCCCATATCTCCATAAACAGTTCCTTAATTAAAGTCTCCCCAAATGATCCTAATTTAAATGTGCCGACAGGGGCGGCTGGGTGGCTCAGTTGGTTAAGCGTTCAACTCTTGATTTCAGCTCAGGTCATGATCTCATGGTTGTGGGTTTGAGCCCCACACTGGGAGGACAGTGTGGAGTCTGCTTAGGATTCTCTCTCCCCCACATCACTGCCCCTCCCCTATTTGCACTGTCTCTCTCTTTCTCTCCCTCTCAAAATAAATTTAATGCCCTCTGCTTCCTGCTGCCACCCTACATCAGATGACAGACAGTTACAAGTAGTACATGAGACAGAAACACAGTTTCCCTGCTTTATCACTTCTCAGCTGTCTGAACCAGGGCAAGGTATGGCTCTGTGCCTCAATATTTATACCAAGATGATGGCAATGCAAGACAATCAGTCCATAGTAGAGCTTGTAATTTATTTTTAAGACAGAATTGACAGGGGCACCTGGGGGCTCAGTTAAATGCCTGACTTCGCTCAGGTCATGATCTCACAGTTCATGGCTTCAAGCCCAGCATCAGGCGCTGTGCTGATGGCTGAGCCTGAAGTCTGCTTCGGATCCTGTGTCTCCCTCTCTCTACCCCTCATCCACTCATGCTCTGTCTCTCTCTCAAAAATAAACAAACATTAAAAAAAAAAAGAATTGACAGAATCACTAGAAGACAACTATGTGACCATTTACTTGGGGAGACTTCCATAACCAATAATCAAGGCAGAGTCTACAATCGAAACAAAAGGAAGAACAATTATTAACTCCAGGGAAAACAAAAACCTTTGCAAAAACAAAAAGGAAAAATGATCACAGTACTCTAATTGGTTTGACTATGTGGAATGTTTGCAAAGTCATATTAATTTAAACACTGAATATTATTCTGTCCAAAATCCTGAAATGACTATACTGGGAGGATGAAGAGTAATGTGTTGGGTTGAGGAATGGCAATGCTGGGGCAAGAGAGCCAAATCCTCATCTTCCACAGTGGCAAGTCAGGAGACCATGCCTACAGCCAGAAAAGCAAGAACTAGCTTTCTAGGTGGTATTTAACTCTGAAGGGGAAACTAATTAAATGGTTAAAAGTGTAAAAAGGTGCTGCCTCTAGGGGAGGCAACGGAGATAAGGTCCTACTGTCGGCCTTGCAGATCATGACAAGGGTAAATTTAGGCTTATGATGCCTCAGCTCAATCCCCACCGCACAGCAGAGGATCCCAACATCATAGAAAGAAGCCAGGGCGTAGTGATGCAGGAATTGCTGACACACAGAACTGCTAGCACAAAATCTCGAGAGGAGAGTAAACCATTTAAAAAAATGGTTCTTGAAGCCTGGGAAGAAAGTTGACAATGGTAGGAAACCTTTAGTTGAGCACTTGCTGTGTATGTCGGACACCTTGTTAGTTAGACATTTTATTTACTTTACTATTTATTATTAAGTAGGCTCCACACCCAAATGTGGGGCTTGAACTCATGGCCCTGAGATCAAGAGTCAGTCACTCTAAAGACTGGGCCACCCACGCACTCCCTTGTTAGGCATTTTAATATACTTGAATCCTCACAACAACCCTGCAAGGTAGGGTTTTATAACCAAGGAAATCAGGTCAGAAGAGTCAAGTAAACTGCCCTAGGTCACGCATCCAGTAAGTCAAAGAACTAGGGCTGTGAGCAGTTGGGACTTCAGCCACACCCTTCTGTCACTATCAAATTACCACATTCACCTAGATCCTGAGGCTCAGCCTGGACACAAAACTCCATGAATGCTAGCAGCTGTTACTTTTCTTACTGCATCTGAAAGGCAAGAACATCTGGCAGAGGTGATCATGGACCTGGCCCTCAGACACTAAAGCAGCTCCCCACACAACCAGCAGCTACCCCAGACCACGGCGCTTCCAGGGCTGTCTACTGGCACCTCGGAATGGAGGCGATCCCGTGAGGGGCAGCGAAATGCTACAGGTACATAAATACACAAAGGCCTGTGGAGCTAGAAAGAGCCAAGTCAACTAGATTCAAACCCAAGGGCACACACAGGTGAGACAGGCAAGTCTTTACCATTAGGAACAATGAGGCACAGAATGGCCGTTTGGTTCCTATTTACCTAGAGGGTATTAAAATACTTAAACATGCCAAGCATAAGTCATACAGGCCTATTTTTAACTGGCTGATGATTTAAAAAATCTGAATTTCTGGCTTCTTGACAAGTCGAAAGTTCTCCACTGGGCCCACATAGCTAAGCTGTAGCCAAGCAGTGAATGGACTCTTGTGACGGGGCATTATCTCCCAATTCTAGCGGGCCTGTCCCAACTGCCTCCCTCCTTTCTGGTACTGCCTGGCCTCTGCCCTGACTCTCAGCACGGATGGAGTTGATGGGATGCACAGTGGGTTATGAAGAAGTAACTGGATACCCATTCCAGGAGCCCTCAGCCCAGATGATCCCACACAAGCAAGTTCAAGTTCTTGGCTTCACCTATGGACAGCAAACAGCAAACAGGTAGCTTCTGGCTGTCCCAAAGAGCTGTGCAGCAAAGGCACCTCACCATGGGGGACCATTCCATACCGGGAGCACTCCCCCTGTCCCATTTGATCCATCCCCATACCCAGTCCCAGAGCTTCTGAAGGACTGAACTTTTTCCTTAGGCACTGCTGAACTCCCAGCTCACAGCACAGAGCCAAGCATTCAGTAGACAATCAGTAAATTTATACTTAATACCTAAAAGGCCCAAAGCACCGCTATTGCCTTGAGGTTCAATTCAAACCTTGCATTTGGAAACGTTCCATTTAAGGAGTTCCCTACTCTGCTCGAGGATTAAAAACACACCGCAAGGTGTATAAAAATGCAACCGATTTCTGCATGTTGATTTTGTACCCTGCAACTTGGCTGAATTCTTGGATCAGTTCTAGTAGGCTTCTGGTGGAGTCTGTCGGGTTTTCTATGTAGAGTATCATGTCAGCAAAGAGTGAAAGTTTGACTTCCTCTTTGCCAATTCTGATGCCTTTTATTTCCGTTTGTTGTCTGATGGCTGATGCTAGGACTTCCAGCACTATGTTAAACAAGCGTGGTGAGAGTGGACATCCCTGTGGTGTTCCATTTTTATACAACAATAATGAAGCAACAGAAAGAGAAATCAAGAAACTGATCCCATTCACAATTGCACAAAAAACCATAAAATACCTCGGAATAAACCTAACCAAGGATACAAGAGATCTGTATGATTAACTATAGAAAAGTTATGAAGGAAATTGAAAAAGACACAAAGAAATGGAAAAACATTCCATGCTCATGGATAGGAAGAATAAATATAGTTAAAATGTCATTACTACCCAAAGCAATCTACACATTCGATGCAATCCCAATCAAAATTACACCAGCATATTTCTCAAAACTAGAACAAACTATCCTAAAATTTGTATGGAACCACAAAAGACCCCGAATAGCCAAAGTAATACTGAAAAATAAAACCAAAACGGGAGGGATCACCATCCCAGACTTTAGCCTCTACTACAAAGCTATCATCATCAAGACAGTATGGTATTGGCACAAAAACAGACACATAGACCAATGGAATAGAATTGAGAACTCAGAGCTGGACCCAAAGGTATACAGCCAACTGATCTTTGACAAAGCAAGAAAGAATATCCCATGGAAAAAAGACAGCCTTTTTAACAGATGGTGTTGGGAGAACTGGACAGCAACATGCAGAAGAATGAAACTAGATCATTTTCTCACACCTACACAAAAATAAACTCAAAATGAA